CAATTGAATCAAAAATTCAAACAGTTGAAACAACAATTGAAACAAATTTTAAAAACAATGAATCATCAGCAAGCGAACAAGAACGCAATCGTTCTATTGTTATTATTGGACTACAAGAATCTAAATCAACAACGCCATCAATTCGTGTTGCTGAAGACAAGTCTGCAATCGAAGATGTACTCAACTTGTTGGGGGTTGAGAGCCCATTCGTTTCGTACAGAATGGGTAAGCATGACCCAACTGCTAAAGGTTGTCGTTTAATAAAAATTGTTTTTGGCGCTTCAAAGTTTCAGCGAATTTCACTTGCTGAATGGAAACGACACAGAGTGGAAATGAAAAAAGAATCAAAATGGTCTCGTTTGTTGATCAGGCCAAGTCTTACTAGAGAACAATTGGAAGCTGAAAGAATTGAACGTGCTAAGAAACGAGATGAATACAATAAAAGAACGAGTGCAAATGTGACTGAAAGAACAAAAAACCATTAAGAGGTCGTCCAAGATTCAAGGTTTTAAAAAACTCTTTAAATATTTCCCCTTTTTATAAATGTCTATATTTTAATAGTAGGAGCTTGGTTAACAAATTAGATGCTTTAAGATTACTTTTACTTTCCAAGTCCTTTAAAATAATTTGTATTTCCGAATCGTGGTTGAACAAAAAGATCGATAATTCCCAAATTTTACATACTTCACCTTATTCCATTGTCAGATGCGATAGAAGTTCTAGGGGCGGTGGTGCTTGTATTTTAGTAGATAATATAATTCCCTTCTCTCCCGTTAAAATTCCTAAAAATAAAAATTCCGACATTGTTGCCATAGACATTTACTCCCCCAAATTTGACAAATTTCGAATAATAACCGTATACCGTCCTACCACAAACGAAAATTTTAAAGACTTCCATGAACTTCTTGATACATTAAGTTATTTAATATCTATTAATCATAACTACATAATCGTAGGTGACTTTAATTTCCCTAATCTAATCTGGAAGACCAACATACCACTCGCTCTCAACCACAAATCACCTTCTGAAAAATTATTTATCGAATTTATAGAAAGCTATAATCTATTTCAAGAAATCTCTTCCCCAACCAGACAAGATAACTATCTCGATTTACTTTTTTCCTCTTCCGCCTTTCGCGTTGTAAAAAATATTACCATTAATGCCCCCTTTAAAAATTCTGACCATAACACCATTGAATTTAACTTAAATTTTAAATATTTTCCCAAAAAACCAGAATTTATACTTGACTTTCATAATGCCGATTACAATCAAATTAACAATATCCTAATTGGTTTAAACTGGAATACCTTGTTTTTAAATTGCACTGATGTAGACTCCCAATATACCCTATTTTTAGAAATCATTCACCAAACAATCCGAAATTTCATACCGTTAAAAAAGATCAATAAAGACCTTACTAGATTCCCAAAACATATTCAAAAAATTATCTCATATAAAAATCTTTTATGGAAAAATATTAATAAACCTGCTATACGTGAAAAATATATTCTCACACAACAAAAAATTGATAAAGAAATTTCTCGTTTCTTTAAAAATAGAGAAATCTCAAAATTCAATGATTCACGATCTAGATTTCAGTATATAGGGGCTTTCCTTAAATCCAAAAAATCCAAAATTCCAATATTCAACATTAATGATAGACTTACCATTTCAGACAAAGATAAAGCCGAATGTCTTGCAATACAATTCAAGTCTGTCTTTAACTCTTCTAACTTTGATTCCTCTGATATAAACAATCCAAACAAAAACACATTATCCTTTATTGATATCAATCCAGAGGAAATCTATAGCACTATAAACAAACTCGACAATGTTAATAACATATCACCGGACGGCATTCCCAACATTTTCTTAAAAAACACCGCAGTCTCATTAACCACTCCATTAACAATTATGTTTAACATGTCAATCATGACAAGTAAAATTCCATCTATATGGAAAAAGTCAATAATCCGACCTATTCCTAAAAATAATAATCCTAACGAACCTAAAGATTTTCGACCTATCTCTCTCTTATGTTCAACCTCTAAAATTTTGGAACGAATTATTTCAAATAAATTAACTTCATTTCTTGAATCGAATAATTACCTTCCTGCTTGCCAACATGGGTTTCGTAAAAACCACTCAGTTATAACTCAACTCCTAGAAACCTATAATGACTACACATTAGCTATCGAAAATAAAAAATGTGTTGACGTTATATTCTTCGACCTGGCAAAAGCGTTTGATACTGTCCCCCACGATCGCCTTCTGAAAAAACTATATCATCTAGGTATCACTGGCGCATTACTAAATTGGATTGACGATTATTTAATAGACCGAACTCTTTCTGTTCTTGTCGAATCTGAAAATTCTAATGAATATCATATAACAAGTGGAGTTCCTCAAGGATCAATCCTCGGCCCTATTTTATTCATCTCATATATATTTGATATAATAGATTTCTGTAAGACAGATAATGTTACACCCAAATTATTTGCTGACGATTTAAAGGCCTATACCTGCTTTGATTTTCCAAATAAAAACCACTATTCTCCACTCCAAACATTTATCCAAAAATTCTCAAAATACTGCGAAATAAATGGCCTTAAAATCGCTATCAGCAAATGTAGCTCACTCCACATAGGAACTAAAAATCCCTTCCACCAATACTCTCTACAAAACATAAATATACCAATCATTCCACCCAACGAACCTATTCGTGATCTAGGCATTTATTTTACATCAAACTTAAAATGGGATTCTCACATTAAAATAATAACAAATAAAGCAACTGGAATTTATTATACTCTTATAAGATCTCTTAAAACTAATAACACTCAATTCCTAACTACTTTATTCAAAATATACGTCTTACCTATCCTCGAATTCGGATCTCCTATAATTAACCCTTATTTAAATAAAGATATAAACTCTTTAGAAAATGTTCAACATAAATTCTTAAAAATATTATACTTACGCTCTATGAAACACAATAACAGCCCAACATTACCTAATTATAAAGAACTCCTTGACCTGTTTAAACTTGAATCTCTATCGCACAGACGTTTAAAATCAAATCTTATCCTTTTCCATAATATTATCTCAGGCAAAATTAAATTAAAACATGATAATTCATTCAGCATTCTCCCTACCACTACTAGAGGTAACCCGCATAATTTATTTATACCCTTTTGTTCAAGCACCATTCGGAAAAACTCATTCTTTATAGACATCCCAAACATTTACAGAAAACTCCCAACAGAATTACAAAAATCGTCAATCGAATTGTTTCCAAAGCTCCTAAACAATATTAACTTAAACAATGTTTTATCAAAGCCACTTTCCATTCAATTGCCTCCAGACCTTATATAAAACAATTGATACATTTTTATTTATTTTATCTGAATGTCACGTTTTTATGCGTATAAATTGAATTGAATTGAATTTAAATTTTGAGTATTTTTTTTATTTTTGATTAATTAGTAATAGAATTAAAATTTAATATTTTAAATTAAAAATTATTTAAAATTAAATTTAGAATGAAATTTATTAAAGTTTTAATCTTTTTAATCTTCAATTCAACATTTTGGAGTTTAATTAATTCTGTTAAAAATAAAAAAGAGTTAGGGACATCAAAGGATTTAACACAAATATTAAATGGTGAGGGGGCTGAATCGTCGTCGGTTAATCCTCAAATTCAGAAATATAAAGAAACGTTAAACCCAAAGTTTATTACAAAAGAGGAAGAAAAGTTGAGGAAAAAGGGATATAATAAAAATTATCGACAGAAGAATAAAGATAAATTAAAAGAAAATAAGAGAAAGATTGATAAAAAATACTACCAGAAGAATAAAGAGAAGATAAATGAAAATAATAAAAATTATTACCAAAAAAACAAAGATAAATTAAAAGAAATTCGGAATTCTGCAGGTTTTAAAGAAAATAAAAGAAAATCTGATCGAAAATACTATCAAAATAATCAAGAAAAATTGCGTGAGAAAAACCGAAAATACCGACTAAAAAAGAAAAATGAAAAAGAAATTTTACAAAATGATTGCAGTTCAAAATTAGGAATAATTCACTCTGGTGGAGAAACTTCATTTGTTAGTCCCCAGAATAATATTTCTGAAAATAAAGGAAAGGAACCAATTGTTTCCGAAGAGAACTTTCAGGTTGAGGATGGACATCATCCTCATAAAGTAGAAGATGGACATCATGATCATCAGCTGGATGTTATGGATGATTTTGATTTGAGTTTTCTGGATGATCCAAATTTTTGCACTGAATTTTTCAAAAATTTTTAAGGAAGATGAACCTGTTATGAAATATTAAACAAATGTCTTAAACTGTCTCTATTAATAAATAATTAGGACTGGCTTTTTTTTGAGAGGGGGCACCATTTATGGACGAAAAAACCAAAAATGTGCATATGAAATATGAATAAAAATATAAGAAAGATCCCCAAATATGGACGAAATATGTAACATCTTTTAAAAGAAGCAGCTCGGAAAGTGTGGTTTTCTTGAGTTTCAGACCCTTAGAATTCAGTAAAAAATAGGGTTCCATATAATTGCCAGCCCTAATAATAAGTAAACGATCGGATTTTCATTGATATAACTGTCTTTTTCCAAATAAATATGTATTGCTGTTCGCCAGCCCAATCCACCTTCGTCTAAGTACATTGTACTTGGAAATCTTTTTCAAAATTTAAAATTTTAAATAAACAAAATAATTTTATAAAATGTAAACGAATATAATAATAAATATTATAAATTTATTCAATTTTTGAATATTCATTAAACACTTGTATGGAGTCCCAAAAGTTGAGATGTCTCATCGGGCAATCCAGCTCCTCCAGTAGGGTGTCTAGCTCTCAATTCAGGAGAATATTCAGCAATTTGAGAGGGGGCGCCATTTTTAGGTCTCAATTCTAAAGTGCTGTCAGATCCAACGCTTTTTGGAGGCATCGATTCGGCTCCTCCAAAACCCTGATTTTTTAATAAAAAATTTTTTTAAATAAATTTTTATTTACGGGCGGCATAAATTGTTGTTGTTGTCTCAGTGTACCTCCAGGAACCTTTTCTTGATCCTGCCTTCTTTTAACTTTAACAACCCAACAACTGAGGAATAGGAGAACAACTACAAGTATAATACCCACTGTTCTGAATTTTTAAGAATTTTTTAAATTGAACAAGAATTTATTTAAACAAACCCAAGTATGCCCAATAACCAAGTTAGCATATTATCCATTTCTCTAGATCGGCACCAAGGCTGTCCACCTTTATTCCATTCAAATCTATAGCTATTGGGGTACTGAAAATAAATGGGAAATTATATTGTAATTAGGAGATGGGGGAGTGGTATTTAGAAACCGAGACGAGATCTCGAACAAAATCCCAATTATCGAGATCAATATCGACCCTACCAGTTAAGATCACTAGTAGGTCTCTATGTAGTAGTTATGCTTCAAATTATCAAACTGTTCAGGGATATAATTATAATGAGAATATGAACATAGGAAGAATAATAATGAAGAAGGTTAAGGTATAGGCTAGCTTTAATATTTCAAACTCACATTATAATCAACAACTAAAGAACATTTATATTCCGAATCACCCTTTATCCAATGAGTCTAAAATATTTAAAATTATAATCAAGAATAAAAATCTGCCTGAAAACATTCAAATCTAGCAACATCTCCCTGCATATAACTTGGAGCTAATGCTGGTGTTTTAATCATATATTCCTACAAGAGGGGACATTATTCAAAAATCCTTCAAAAAACACTTACAGGATATTCAATATTTATAGGCCCACAGCTATTATAACTTCTAATTGCCTGTCCCCTATCATGAAAAAAAGCATTCCAAGTATCTTTTACTTCATTCCCCAATACTTCAGCATTTAAAAGAGTAAAATCATAAAGACAAGGAACATTATCTCCACAATGTTGAAGTATTTTGCCGGGATTGTCTGGACATTGAGAAGCCCAATCCCAATAAAGTTGGCCTTGATAAGGTTGCATTCCGACTTTTAAAAGATTTTATTTTTATTTTTTTCACTCCTCTTACGAGTATCTCTAGCAGCTAAATCATTGCATTGTTGTAATATCTGCATTAATACAGAGCCTGTTCTAGGCACAAATCTGTATTGGGGTGTTTCGTAAATTTGGGCAGTCTTGTAGATTGGTTCGTTTTTCATTGCGGCCTCTGGGAAGGCTTCGAACTTTTTGTCTTCCTCTCGGCTGGTTGTGAACCTAAAAAATACTTTACTGGGCTGTGAGGGAAATTCAACTTGAGTTAATAATATTAATTATAAGGGTGTTTGTCATCCTAGGAATAAGGAACAAATGGATCCATCAAAGGCAAAACAGGCCTCAACAAAATATCGAGGTATTCCTTCTGTAAAATGCCCTGGTTTGCTCGCACAAGAGGTGTTTGAGATACCTTCAATCACTCCTATTTAGTCCCAGCCCTATCTAATTATCCTCTATCTAAAATAAATTCCCCTACATATTATCTGTAGGTATCATATACTGATTTAATGTTTGTTGTTGATAATCAGTAAAACGTTCTCCAGACCCAGGTACTCTATAGTAAGTAATTATTTGTTGCCGAATTGATTCAGAATTAACTTCATTTAAAGTCAGAGTGCTGTATATAGAGCCTGTAACTGTATCAGGGAATGGACGCATTAAACCTGACACTCGGGGCAAATTATAACGTTGACGCATTTCTTGATCTCTTGTTTTATCTCCATCTGGTTGCTTTTTTAATTAATTAATTAAAAATATTTATTTATTTCCCCCTACCACTCCATATTGAGGAGGAACACTTAAAGCAATATCCAAAATACCCATAGATTCTTGATACATGGGCATTCTGTCAATATCAACAGAATAACTTTCTCTGATTCGAACCCCAATTTGAGCTTCCTCCAAAACTACATAAACTTCTGGTTGGCCTCTTTCCACGTTATTTACATAAATTAGAACTCCTGAAATCCTTGGGGTAAGTAATGGGATTTGACTCTTAAATTTAACCCTTAAATCGTTGTAGCCTCATTGTGTCAAAGTATCTGAGTATATTTCCAACAATAACAGAAGTTCGATAGCGAAATCGTCGAGTGTCCCCTCTTGCCAACACTAAGACTCTCTAAAAGTCTAATATTAAATTAGATCGAGAATTCCCCACATCAGTCCCAGTAGCCTCCAAAGCAATTCCAGTAATTACAGTAGCATTTGTAGGTTGAACTAATTGCTCTTGAGAGAGATAACGGCCTAGCATACTAAAATCTACACGTCTGTTGGGATAACGTTCCAAACGAATTTGGATTCGAACTTCGGGATTATTTATTGTTTTGGGAATGTGGAGAAGTGTGTAAACACCAGGCTCGTTAAAAACAAATTTGTCGTTGTCTATAGTGTGGAAAGTACCAGCACCCATTGCTTCCCCTATTTTTTAAAAAGGAAATTTTTTTGAGAATAAATTTCTTCAAAAAACCAATAGCTGGTGGTTGATATTGTTGACATCCACTACTCGGCCTTCTCCAATAAAAAAGTTGGCAACGAAATTTGGCAAATTTACAACAAAGAAAATAAGGCATATAATCATGGTGAAAGGCAGAAAGACCAGGAACTTCAAATTGCCCCATATATGGAGGGGTACCAAATTCATAGGCTCTCAGTGGAAAGCCTGGATTATAGGGAGTTTCTTCAATTACTTTAATGACTGGTTGGTATGTTGTTTGCATTAAGAATCCTTTAAGATTATGGAGAAAATTTTACAATTGTTGGAGAGTGGCTACTTCTAAATTCTGTCATAGTCCTTATACCATCTAACGGTACACCTCATTTGAAGGGATATCTTAGGATGTGGAAGGAGGCCACATTCTTATGTTACGGGCATATGACGCACATTGGCATGTACTTAAAATAAAATACATATACATATTTGACCTATCTCCTTTATGACAGAACTTAATCGCCACTCTAATTTAAGTTCAATTAATTAATTACCCTTTTCATCATAACAACAAACTTGTCCATAATGTGTTGGAAATCGTCTTTAAAAAATAAAAATATAAACTATTTCCGTTTAAAAAGTAAACTAACGTTCCCCTATCTTGTCCATCCCTTCCATAATATCCACCACCAAAAGAAGTTCCTTCACCTCCCGTTTCTGGCCCTCTATCTCTATAAAAATCGCCTCTACTATATTCACTATATCCATAACCATAATCGAAATGCCTGCCAGAATAAGAGCCGTAAATGTTGGATGACTGGAAATTGAAGGGGGAAATGAGGGTGAGAGAGGGAGGCGATCATAGCTGTTTCGAAATCGGCTTCTGATCCCAAAATCAAGGAATTTAAAGGTCCGCCAACCGATTCCCACTTCTTAGCACCAAGAGTAAAAGGACCAAAAGAGCGCCACATATTCACCAAACTTTTTCAATTTTTGATTTCCCAAGAACTTGACCCATAAGCCTGGGAAATCCCCGGATTTGGGATCAGATTTTAGAAAATTTTTCAAACAGAGCTATTGTCTGTTTCGGAAATAAAATTTAAAAATCAGATTACACTCATATAACAATTCTTAGCCCCAATCATAGTAGTACAGGTTATATCTCTAAATGTTTGTGAACAACGTGGATGAGGCATAAATCGACCCAAATCAAATTTGGCCTGATTTTCCATACAAGGACAGGAAGCATTTGTTTCTACATCTCGAATAAAGCTGCGAAATATTTGGAATTAAATCCAAAAAATATCAGAGTAACAAACTTCCATTGGGCCCCATCTTCATCAAACCAATCATGACACATTTCTTTTGCTTTTTGAGCAATAAATTCTTGTTGAACGTCTTGTTCTTGACGAGAAAATGTTGTAGTTTCATATCGAGGATTTCCAATAGTCCAAAGCCAGTGAAGGGAAATTGGGGCAGAAACAAGGCTAATTAAGGAGAGATTAAATTAATTTTCTCGTTAAATAAAGGACTCTGATCTTGCTAGGCAAGGATGGAAAAAGGTTATGAGAATGATCAGAGTATTCTATTATTTAGCGATTATTTAAAGAAATTATCTAGTTGAGGGGGCAACTATTACAAGCTATCTAGGGAAAGTCGGACTCGTAGTGCGACACTTGCGGACCGACTTTTGCGGACCGACCTTTGCGGACGGACATTTGCGGATTGCGGATAGACATTTGCGGATCAGACATTTGCGGACGACATTTGCGGATTGCGGACCGACTTTTGCGGATCGGACATTTGCGGACCGTTTTTGGAAAAAAATTTACAAAATTAAATTTAATTTTCGAAAACGAAAAAAATATTTAGGTAAGTTTATTTTAATATCTTTTCGATCTAACAAGTTAGACAAAGTTATGATCGTTTATTTTAGCTCCTTACCTATTGCATCCGTGGAGTTTTTGCTGCTGCGGGGGAAGCTGGGCATGACTATGTCACCGATGATAGGAATAGGATTAAGTTACGAGCCCAGAACCCAGCGACCGTTGACTCCCCGCGAGGCGCGTGCCGCAAAACCCTGCGCGAAGCGCAGGGTTTTGCACAAGCGCCTCGCCTAATCTCCATAGGTTTACGTTGACCATTTTGATAAAAAAGTTGCCCATCGAAAAGATATTAAAATAAACTTAAATATTTTTTTTCGTTTTTGAAAATTAAATTTAATTTTTTTAATTTTTTTTTTCCAAAAACAGTCCGCAAATGTCCGATCCGCAAAAGTCGGTCCGCAATCCGCAAATGTCGTCCGCAAATGTCCGATCCGCAAATGTCTATCCGCAATACGCAAATGTCCGTCCGCAAAGGTCGGTCCGCAAAAGTCGGTCCGCAAGTGTCGTACAATCGTCGGACTATATTATCTATCCAGGGAAAGTCGGGCCAACCAGCATAATAATTTATGGAATAGCCTTCCCTCTATTCTGCCCTCCTCCATTTCATGTTCGGCATTGCCTCTGGGACCTTAGGAGGCGATGCCTGTTGGGCCTCTTGTGACCTCTAAAATAATGATTACCCAGAAAGAAGTTGAGGGGCTTGAAACGCTGACTGTTCATTTGTCCTTAAAGGAGATAATTTTAAATATCCAACTCTAAAAGTGAAAAGTTCATTCATTCTTTCCCAATCATTCATGTACCTTTAAATTAAATTTCGTTTTTATAAAGTTTCCCTAAAAAACCATTGTTCAACTTGATTTAAATTAATTCTCTCCTTCTGAGCATTCCATCTATACTCATAAGTATTTCTATTAGAATAAGTTGCTAATCTACAAAGAACTCGATGTTCGGGGCGGAATTTTTTGATCTGAATTTAAACATAAACAAACATCTTTTAAGGCAAATAAGTGTGGTGTTTAGTGTTTCGACGGAAGTTCCGGTTCCAGTAGGCCGGAAGTTTCGGGATTTTTTGGTTCCGGTTTCGGTTCCGGCCAAATTTGCGGTTCCGGCGAAACACTAGAGGCTAGATAGTATCCACTCCTAAGCTAATATTGGCCAATAGGATTTGCAACTGTTCAGATATGTTAAGGATAAACTTGCCTCTGCGGAGGAGTCGGCATTAAGTGTTTTTAACTATGGCAGTTACGGACACGAAAATAAGTGTTAGAAACAAATAGTATGTGTATCAAACAAGTTTTTTAAAGAAAATGTTTTTACTTGGTCATCCTTAGATTCTTTATAACCAATAACATATAAACCCAACTGAACACCATAAACGGCATCATCACTTATATGCATGTTTTGATCAAAAAAGTTTAAATCTGGATTTGTAAAGTTGCGGGGATACCAAGAAATGGGCATAACAATATTTGGTAAGGGATTTTTGTACCAATCTTTAAATCGGTTAGATTATTTTTTAGAGGAATTTATAGGTAGTTACCATAAATATTGCCAACATCCAAACGCATAGGATCTAATGTTGGGGGAACTAAAAAATAATTAAAATATTTTTTTTCCAAAAATTCAACATTTTCTAACCAAAATAAATATATCCAACAAAAGCCCTTTCATCATTAGCTCCTTGACTTTGTGGTTGGAAAAACACAGTTTTAGTCCCCCAATCATAAATTTTTGGAATATTACATCTAGCCATTGCTGCATTAAGTACAATACAAGAAGCTGTCTTTAATTTTAAATTAATTAAGGAGGAAAAACATGTTGGGAAGACAATGTTTTTAGAAATCAGAATTAAATTAAAACATTATCAGAAACAAGGAAAAACATCAACAGAACTGAGGGAAACAAGTTGGAATTTAGAGAGGAAAATAAATCAGAATTAAATATAATCAGAATAAATGCTGAAAAGCAAGTTGAGAAAAATTCGATTTAGTGTTTTTAAAAATCAGAATTAAATAAAAACATTATCAGAAATAGGAAGAATAACATGTTTGGAAAACACAGAATTAAATAAAGAAAAAGCAGAATTTAATAAAAACATAATCAGAAAAAGCAGAGAAACAAGTTTAAATTAATTACCTGTCTTTGTTCAATCATTAAAATATATGTTTGTGTTCTATCCAAACATATAGCATTAACATCAACAGTCATTTCACCCAACATATTTACAATATTTGGATATATCATTATTGGGTCTGTTTAAAATTTTTTTTTCTTCAAATCAAAAAACTTACAAGTTCCCCCAGTTTTATTTGAACACCCTCCAGGCCTAACAACATCATCAACTCTGAACATATAACGGCCGCGAACCATGTGAGGAACACCAGAACGCTGAGCTAGGACTTTTGGGGTGTTTTTGTAATTTTGTGTTGGGTCTACAAGCACAAAGCCTGTGTGATTCCCTCCATTGAAAAGTGCCTGAAGATTTTTAAAAATCAGAATTAAAAATTCAAAAAATAAATTACCTGACACCTTCCACTTCTAGAATTCATTCGAATATCAGCAGCATCAAATCCAAGTTTGTCATAATTTAAAATAACATAACTAAGTCTCCCAGCTTGGTCAGTTAACCAAACAACTTGATAGGTAGCTAATTGCCCCCCATCAATATCTGCTCTTCCAGAAATTGCAGAGGCTGTGTTATACCAGGTAACAACTAAAGCAGCATCTGCACGAAATGCTGTTGCCCCTGCTACTCCTTCTGAATATTTAGAGAAATGTTTGGAAAAAATCAGAATTTAATATGAACACATTTCTCCTGGCATTTAATGGAGAAAATAGTACTATTATGTTTGGGAAACATTATTTATAAAAATCAGAATTAAATCTGAACAAATTTTCCCTCTGAATATTTAGAGAAAAATGTTCGTAAGAAGATCAGAATTTAATTCGAACAAATTAATTACCCTGTAACCAACGCATCATTTGATCAAGAAAATAATCTCCAGCAGCGTCACACCTTACATAATTGTCAGCAGCCGCCGGACATTTTTGAAAACGAAAACCAAAGAAACTACTTTCCGGCATTGTTCCCCCAACATCTGGCCCTCCAACATTCATTCCAGAACCTCTACCAAACATTGATTGTCTCATAATTAAACGATAATAAACACCCGATCTTAAAGCTACATTGCTATCTTGGGGTATCTAATTAAGGGAAGGAAGGGGTTTTTTGGAAGGGGAAGAATAAATACCTGTTGTTTGCATAAATAAGGGCCAATCATTGCTGGATCTTGTTGTCTAGGCCAATCTGTAGCTTCGGGACCGACATTCTTTTTAATTTATTTTTATAAAATATTTTTAAATAAATTTACAATTGTGGGGCCTTGGTCAAGCACAGTAGCAAAAGCCATATATCCATTTACTGACAACTTTTTAAATTTATTTAAAAAAATATTTTTATTTTTAATTATTTACAGTTGTATAGTTGTAAAGACCTCCATAAAAAGGAAAATACATATATAAATCTATTGTTTGTCCAGCTGTCAAAAATCCTGGATGGACTTTTCTATCGCCAACTTCTGGGCCAAAAGGGACCAAATTTACTGAAGAAATAGAATATTCGTTAGTTTTAATATAAAATCAGAATTAATTTAAAACAATATCAGAATGTATTTAAACTTTCCGGAATGGAATCTGAACAACAAACACAAAAAAACATATCAGAATTAAATCTGAACATAATAATCAGAAATAAATTCAAACACAAAACAAATACAGAATTTAATTAAAACATTTCAGAGTTAATAAATACAGAATTAAATCATTCCACACTATAGACAACGATAAATTTGTTTTTAACGAGCCTGGTGTTTACACACTTCTCCACATTCCCAAAACAATAAATAATCCCGAAGTTCGAATCCAAATTCGTTTGGAACGTTATCCCAACAGACGTGTAGATTTTAGTATGCTAGGCCGTTATCTCTCTCAAGAGCAATTAGTTCAACCTACAAATGCTACTGTAATTACTGGAATTGCTCTGGAGGCTACTGGGACTGAGGCAAATTCTAATTAATATTTATTACTTGTAGTTAGTGTTCTGCTGGTTCCAAAAATCAGTTTCGTGGTCATTAACCATAATTAAAAATTGAAAATGCCCAGGACCCAAAACTCGGTCGGACTATAAGATACCCACTTGAGTGTTTAAAAATTACGTCATCTCTCTCAAGAGCAATTAGATAGTCCCCATTAAATAGTCCCCCCTATAACCAACAATCAAATGTTATAAACCAGGGTTGCCGCGGGTACAAAAAATCTTCGGGTACGGGTTTCGGGTTTGGCGAAAAATTCGGGTTGTTTTCGGGTGTTCGGGTATTGGTTTTTCGGGTGTCAGGTTTCGGTCGGCAACCCTGTTATAAACGTTTTTGAACTCAGGTGTATATAATTTTGAGGGTATAGTATAATGAAGCTGATAATTTAACAGTTATTAATTACTATGTATTTCCTTTTTTAGAGAGTCTTAGTGTTGGCAAGAGGTGACACTCGACGATTTCGATATCGTACTTCTGTTATTATTGGAAATATACTCAGATATTTTGACACAATGAGGCTGCAACGATTTAAGGGTAAATTTAAGAGTCAAATCCCTTAACTTATCCCAAACATTTCAGGAGTTTTAATTTATGTAAATAACGTAGAAAGAGGCCAACCAGAAGTTTATGTAGTTTTGGAGGAAGCCCAAATTGGTGTTCGAATAAGAGAAAGTTATTCTGTTGATATCGACAGAATGCCAATGTATCAAGAATCTATGGGTATTTTGGATATTGCTTTAAGTGTTCCTCCTCAATATGGAGTGGTAGGGGAAATAAATAAATACTTATTTTTAATTTAAAAAAGCAACCAGATGGAGATAAAACAAGAGATCAAGAAATGCGTCAACGTTATAATTTGCCCCGAGTGTCAGGTTTAATGCGTCCATTCCCTGATACAGTTACAGGCTCTATATACAGCACTCTGACTTTAAATGAAGTTAATTCTGAATCAATTCGGCAACAAATAATTACTTACTATAGAGTGCCTGGGTCTGGAGAACGTTTTACTGATTATCAACAACAAACATTAAATCAGTATATGATACCTACTGATAATATGTAGGGAAATTTATTTTAGATAGAGTAGAATTAGATAGGGTTTGGACTAAATCGGAGTGCTTGAAGGTATCTCAAATACATCTTGTTGGTGTATATTTTACAGAAGAAATACCTCGATATTTTGTGGAGGCCTGTTTTGCCTTATAGGTCCATTTGGTCCGTATTCTTAGGACTAAACCATCCACAGACACCCTTATACCTGATTGATATATTAACTCAAGTTGAAGTTCCCTCACAACCGAGCAAATTCTTTTTTAGGTTCACAACCAGCCGAGAGGAAGACAAAAAGTTCGAAGCCTTCCCTGAGGCAGCAATGAAAAACGAACCAATCTACAAAACTGCCCAAATTTACGAAACACCCCAATACAGATTTGTGCCTAGAACAGGCTCTGTATTAATGCAGATATTACAACAATGCAATGATTTAGCTTCTAGAGATACTCGTAAGAGAAGAAAAAAAATAAAAATAAAATCTTTTAAAAGTCGGAATGCAGCCTTATCAAGGCCAACTTTATTGGGATTGGGCTTCACAATGTCCAGACAATCCAGGCAAAATACTTCAACATTGTGGAGATAATGTTCCTTGTCTTTATGATTTTACTCTTTTAAATGCTGAAGTATTGGGGAATGAAGTAAAGGATACTTGGAATGCTTTTTTCCATGATAGGGGACAGGCAATTAGAAGTTATAATAGTTGTGGACCTATAAATATTGAATATCCTGTAAGTGTTTTTTGAAGGATTTTTGAATGATATTTCCTCCTAATTATAGGAATATATGATTAAAACACCAGCATTAGCTCCAAGTTATATGCAAGGAGATGTTGCTAGATTTGAATGTTTTCAGGCATTTTAGAATTTAAATTTAATTATTATTCATATTTTTAGTCTCACTGGATAAAGGGTGATTCAGAATATAAATGCTCTCTAGTTGTTGATTATAATGTGAGTTTGATAAGTTTCATGTATTGCATGATTATGGCGTTACTTATGTTCATAAAACATACTCTCACTATAATTAGAGACAGGGAATGGGAGTGTCGAACGAGAATCAGAATCGATATCAAAAAATCACGATCTCGATAACCGAGAGTTTCTATCGAGATCTTGTCTCGGTCCGGTCTCTAATTATAATCACATCCTAGGACCAGCCCTTAATTTGAAGTACAACCGTTTTGGAATTGTTGCTTGTGATTCAAAATATTTTTCAAAATATTTTCTATCCATCATATCCAACCATCTTCCCTAACACGATTAAATCCATTCATTATCAATACCTCGTTTCATGCCATCCGCAAATTTTAATCTTACTGTAAAATTATATTCTCCAATTTTCAGTACCCCAATAGCTATAGATTTGAATGGAATAAAGGTGGACAGCCTTGGTGCCGTTCTAGAGAAATGGATAATATGTTAACTTGGTTATTAGGCATACTTGGGTTCGTTTAAAATATTGTACAATTTTTTAAAAAATTCTTGAAAATTCAGAACAGTGGGTATTATACTTGTAGTTGTTCTCCTATTCCTCAGTTGTTGGTGTATTAAAGTTAAAAGAAGGCAGGATCAAGTAAATGCTGTTGGAGGCCCTTTACCTGGGAAATTTGCAGTGGGGTCAATTACTAGTTTGGAGCCTCCACCTAATTTGAATGAGGATAATGCTCCTCAAATGGAAGAAACTTCTACAGCAATGCCTGAGGGGATTTTAGGGTTAAATACTAGCGTTTGAAAATATTCTAAATGAAATTTTAGTAATTATTTAATTGAAATTAATTGGATTTTTAGCCATTTATTTAATTATATTTATTTAAAAAATAAAAGAAAATTTAGATTAAAATAATTTTTAATTATTTTTGAGCGGAAAATAAACAAGTGAGAATTTTAAACAAAAATATGAATGAACAGTCGACCTCATTTTTAGATACTCTTGGTCTGAAAAAATTTTACTTTATAAAATGGGGTATCTTAAATTTTGAGGGTTGTTCACTACCTCAGTTATTAACCAGTACCCTCGGTTTTCAGTTAACCCAAATTTAACCAAACTTTAAATATGGCTTTCGGTTTTGAGTTTTGGTCAAATATCAGCTTTGTAAGGCATATCCTAATTATTCAATTATTTATTATTTAACCATTTATTATTATTCATACTTTCTTTATTACAACTACATTTTCCCATGTAACCTTTGTTATTCTTTTATCCATATATGTTCCTCCCACTTATATAAATCCTTTTCCAACTTACATTCAATCAGTTAGTTTGTACACTCATTGTTTATATTTTATCCTAGCTAGAGACGATTTTATAGTCGCTTATTTCCCCTTATGTTTATTATCACACCTATGTATTTCATTCGTGAAGTAAATAAATATTATGAATTGGATCGCGTATTTAGTGTTATCTTTGGAGAGCCTGGCCAGCTCTTCATTAGGTAATTACATTTATTGCTTTATTTTGGGGTAATTTTTAATGAACTCACTTATATCCAGAAGTTTTGGGTTTTTTAAATTTTGCAAAAACGGTTAATTTTTAGCAAAAAAAATTAAAATTTTCGGTATTAAAATCGGTCGTGAACAACCCTAATTTTGGGGTATAATCTGGACTTCCACGTTTCCACCACCCCTATGGTCAAACATATGTTAGATTGGATTTCTGATTATTGGAGGTATTTAAAAATGAAGTCGACTGTTCTGTAAAAATATTTAAGAGATCATCTAAAAAATATTTAGGCTAATTTTAATTGATTAATTAATTAGATATCCTTCTATAAATTATTAAAATTAATAAATATATCATTAAATTAGAAGTTAAAATTTGTATCCTTTTTACAGATGAATTTAAAGGTAAAGCATCTAATAAATCGGTAGCTCTAACTTGTTTGATAGTAGAGAGAAGGAGCTGATACCTTTCTGATCTTTCTAGCCAAAAATTTAATTCTAACTCGCGGACATATTGAGAACAATGCTGGGAAATTAAAATAAATATTTTTGAGGATTTATTATTTTTGATATTTGAGTTCCAATAGTGAGAAAGCATAGCCCTGAAAACTCAGTCGGTAAAACATATAACTGTCGAAAGTTGGATGGATGACTATTAGGGCCAAACTTTTACATCTCTCTTCTCTATAACCTAGAAATTCTTCGGATATCCGGAACCGAACCGAAAAACAAACCCGAAAAATCATCGGCTCTTCGGTTCGGTTCGGTCCAGAACCGACAACTCTTCTCTATAATTTCTATGAACTTTGTGTAGATCGGAAATTTCTAACATAAAACAAAACCATGTTCTTATCCCAAACCCGATACAAAAAACCCAAAGAAAATTAATAGATCCAAGAACAAGAGTCTTGGACATCACTAGATATAAGAGTTTCGTCAAAAAAATTTGTTGACCAAAATTTATGTAATTATTTCATCATTCCCAATAAAAAATTAATTGAATCTTGACTTTAAAAAATTAATTTTTTACCTTTTCCATCTTTCCACTTTGCCATTTTGGTTGAGTCTGATTTGCAGAATGGTCAATACCAAACCACTGGATTTGCATTAAAACAACCTTATTTAAATAATTATTTTTTATAAATATTATTTTAATTACTTGTTCAGATTTAAAATGTTCAACAACCACAAATCTACATTTTAATCCACTAGGTAATAACCTCTCTAAAGCAAATTGAAGTCTTGTGGCTAAGTCTTTGATAAGTGAATTGCTCTAAAAAAATTTTTAAAAATTTCTAAAAATTTTTAAAAATTAATTACAAACATGGCTAATAAGGCCACTTCGTTCCAAAACCAATTTAGGCACCTTCTCTCTAATAATGTCTATTTCTGCCTGTGAATACCCCAAACTCAAATATATTCCAGGTTGTAATTCAGGCTGCAATTCCGAACTATCACAAATAAATTGTCCATTATGACATTGACAGGCGCCTCGATTTTCCAGGTAAAGGCGTTGACCGAATACTTTATAAAAATAATATTTAAAGTTTTGTGTTAAATGAACTTGTTTTTCCAGGTTGTAATTTTCAAGTTTAATTAGGTATATTTTGTTCGTGTTTTTCAAGTTTTGTGTTTAATAAACTTGTTTTTCTTGTTTTCAAGTTTGTTTTATATTTGTATTTTTCCAAAGTTTATTTTCAAAATAAACTTGTTTTTCAAGTTTCATTGTGTTTTGTTTGTATTTTTTGTGTTTAATCAAGTTTTGATTTTACTTGTTTTTCAAGTTTGTGTTCCAAGTTATATTTCTGTTTTACAAGTTTAATTAATCAACCTGTTGTTGTATGTTTTGTTTCACACTGGAGGTCTTGTAAACATCCAAGAGAATGACACCTTATTGTGTGAGAACTAGCATTTTCAGCTTTCCCAGCTTCCTTCCCCTTAACCACACATTCACACCAACTTGAACAACGACCTGACCAGTCATGATATTGTCTAAAGATTGAATCAGTATAATGTTCTACCCATTCTCCATCGATGTTTCTGGTTCGACAACCGCGTCCTAAAACATTTAATATATTACAACTTGTTTTGTTGGTTTGTTTATGTGTTTTTAAAGTTTAATTTATGTATGTTTTGGTGGGAAATGTTTTGATTGGGGTTTGTTTGTTTGCTAATTTTTAAGTTTAATTATGTTTTGTTTGTGTTTATTTACTATGTTTTTTCTAGAACTTATTTTACAACATTAAGACTTGTTATGTTTTTAATGTTTGAATGTTTTCTGAAAGGTTTGTTTGAGGTTTTTGAGTTTAATAATGTTTTGTTCGTCTATCATCAAGTTAAATGTTTTGTTTGGATGTTTTTCTGTTTTAATCTTGTTTGTCTATTCCCAAGTTCAATTATGTTGTGTTCCCTATTAGCTTGTTTTTTAAAGTTTAATTAAAACCTTCATTTGTAATTCTTGGTGTAAACTCATTCACATCAATAAATGAGCCATTATTATAATCATTCTTATTAGGAAATATTTTTCTCCCAATCGGCCGTTTACGTTTTTTAATAAATTCTACTTTATCAATATTATTGTTTGTTTCATTTTCTTCTTTTTTATCCAAATAATAGCTTAATAATTGCTTGTTTTTATTTTTATTATCAATTTCGGCCTCATCTTTTGGTGAGGGTGTAGCTGTCTTTGTTGCCATTAAACTCCATTGAGTATTATCCTTTTCCCTCCCTTCCTCTTCATTAATTTCAAAATTTTCGTCTGATTTTTCTTCTGATTTTTCATCTGATTTTTCGTCCGATTTTCGGCTAATTTTCTCTTTAAAAATATTTTCTTCTTTATCCAAACTCTTCCCTCCTTTATCCTCCTCAAGTAGAAACACCCCCCTTTCAATACTTCCAAATTCCATATTTTTTGCCATTTGTTTTTTGGGTAAACTAACATTATTATTATTTATTTTACTCCTTCTTTTATGGTCAAGTTTTATATATCCGTCAATATAAAGTTGGTTGAAATCTGTTGCTACTTTTTCTGAAATAAGCAAAAATTAAGGCGAAAAAAATTTTTTTATTTTTTTCACCAATACAAGGGTGTTTAGGCCAAAGCGTCATCTCCCACTTTTTACATTCCTTAAAATCACCCCCTCCATTAGATTTACAAAAACAAGGCTCGTCGAGCCATGTTCCTCTAGATTTGGTTAATGCTAAACGACATCTACGTAGAGAAGTGGGGTTATCTGGTAGCAGACAAGATGGTGAGGCATAGGGAGAAGTTGTGTTGGATGTTGGGCAATAAGTTAATAAATTGTTTATGTAATGGCTGAAAAAAGATTACAAGTTTTCCGGAAAATGTTTTCCGGAATTTTTAATTATTATGAACTAAAGGAAAAGCAGTAATTTCCCGGAAAACTTAAAGAAAATAATTTTTGTTCAGGAATATTCCGGAAAACTTTAATGTTTTACTGAAAAAGAATACAAGTTTTCCGGAAAATGTTTTCCGGAATTTTAAAATTGTTATATGAAAACATTTTGCAAAAACATTTTGTAAAACAAATGTTTTTAATTTTTCCGCATGTTTTCCGGAAAATGTTTCCGGAATTTTTGATTATTTTGTGAATAAATTTTGAAAAACAAATGTTTTAGTGATTTTCGTATGTTTTCCGGAAAATGTTTTCCGGAATTTTTGATTATATTTTGCAAAAACATTTGTAAAACATTTTGTAAACCAAGTTTGTAACTTTTCCGCCTGTTTTCCGGAATGTTTTGTTTTAATTTAATTATTTACTTGCAACGAGGTTGTGCTTTACACATTTTTGCTGTTCTAAAAACATTGTTTATATTTATTTAAACATGTTTTCACAAACTGTGTGCAACTCCAACGTGTTTGTTGTTGTTTTTGTTCATTAGAATTGGTTAAATCTGACGAACATTGTTTTGTATTTAATTGTAAGACAGAGGGCAACTTTTAAATTTTTTTATTTTCCCCCAAAAAATTTTTTTTAATATTTACAATTTTCTCTTCCGTCCCTTTATTAATAGGGGAAGGATTGCAAAAAAGCATAGCCTCAACTAAAGGAGCAGAAACAAATCTAACAAAACGGCTAAGAGCAGCAGAGCATTGAGGGGCTCTTTTCTTTAATAAACAATTGTTTTTGTTGTTTTCGTCGTCAAATGTTTGTGGACATTTTATTTGAAGTTCACTTAAAAACAAATGTTTTTGTTTCAAGTTTGTGTTTCAAGTTTGTGTCTATGAGGCTATTCGCCCCTTATAATAAAATTTAATTTAAGAAATATTTTTAATTGCCTTAAATGCCAATTACAAGCTGTTGTCTCGTCTTTTTCACAAATTCCAATTATTTGGGGACATGTTGGGATTAGTGTAACATTAGGGGCATCTAAAAATATTTTTTAATAAAAAATTAATTTTTAAATAATTCTAATACCAATTGAATAAAATTTTAATAAAATTGAAGAAATAGGGGATATTTGCAAAATTATAATTATTAATATTTTTAGAATATTTAGAAGAAAAATGGAAGGAGGAAAATGCATTTTAATAAAAATTTATTTTTTTTATTATTTTTAGATTTTTACGGAAATTTATTTTTATATGTTTGTTTAAAGTAAATAAATAGTTTTTTTGGTTTCTTTACTTATTTACGGCATTTCTCCCCTTTTATGCCTTTTAAGGATTTTAAGCTTTCAAGTGTGTGAAGGGGCCAATTGCGAAAACTTCTAGTACTTGTGATGGAACGGCAAAAACATTTAAATATACTTTAACACGTAAAAATGCAAATATTCGTGCTTAAGATGTGAGGAAAAATGAAAATGAAAATCCTGAAAAGATAAGTTGGTTTGGAATTCTGATTTAAATTTGTTCGTTTAAAATTCTGATTTTTGTCATGTTTTAAAAACATGTTTTTCATTAAGTTTGCGTAAGATTCTGATTTTTTAATTTTGTTTACTTTTTAAAATTCTGATATGCTATTTGTTTGTTTGAAATTCTGATTTTTATTATGTTTGTTTGAAATTCCGATATAAAATTTGTTGGTTTGAAATTCTGATTTCTAACTTGTTCGTCTAAAATTCTGATTCCTAACTTGTTCGTTTGAAATTCTGATTTCTACTATGTTTAAGGAACTATTTTTATTTTCTAGCATGTTTGCGTAATTCTGATTTTTAATTTATGAATATTTGTTTAAAACAGACTTAAAAGTAGGAAGTAATTGCCCCCTTCTTATAAGCATTTTAATGTAAATATGTTAAGTGTGTTTATAAGCTTTTAGCGACCTTTTTGGTGAAAATAAAGCCTAATTAGTGAGAAGGAAAAAATTTTGTTTTTGAAAAAATATTAAAAAATAAAAGAAAAAGGAATGTTGAAAGAGGTAAATGCAACAGAGGTTGAATAAAATTAAAGGAGAAATTAGTAAATATTTTTGAGATTAAATTACCAGAAGTAACATTATTCCCAACAAGTAGGTTTTCCTCCCTGATTTGATTTTCTTCCTTGTTTTGATCAACTTTTTCTATAAATCCAGTAATTTTTGTAGTAGGTGGTACTTCTGCTTGTGTTACCAAATGTTCGTTTGACTAAATTGAAAATAAAATATTTATTTTTATTTACTAATGCTACTTGTGTTGGAGAAATCTGTATAGGTTTTGAGGAAGGCTCTATTAGTGAATCATTTCTGATTTTGTTGTTGGAATGTAAAGTTGGTGGTGTAAATGTTTTTATAGTCGATGTTTTATTTGTTTTTGGTGTTTCTTTAATTTTATGTTTCTGATAAATTTGTTTCTGTTCTGATTTGTTTTTCTCTTCATCAAACATGTTTTTCTCAGGTTTATTTTGCAATTTTGATTCATTTAATTTTTCAAACATGTTTTGATGTTCGTTTAGTTTCTCGAACATGTTTTGATGGTTGTTTTGTTCGGAAACTTTGTTTTGTTCGGAAACTTTGTTTTGTTGTTCTTCTTGTTCGTTAAAATTATTCTCATTGTCTAACTTTTCTTTCCCATCTATTCCATTACTATTAACTGGTCTTGTTTTTGCCAGATTTTTTCTTGGCTTCTCATCTTTTAGTACCACATTTTTAAATTTAATTGTTGCTTCGTGGTTTAATTGTTGAGTAGTTGATGTAGGTTTTTGTCTTAATTCTTGAATATTTTTCTTATAATTTTGATTATTGCCGTCCGAATTCACTACCTCATTATCTTGTTTTAACTTTTCTCTTCTCCTTTTCTCGATTTCCTGTTCTGCCTTTAGCTGAAGTTTCCTCTGTTCCTGAGCATGGATTCTAGCTAACCTCGCCTCATTAGCTATCAATTGCCTTCTTTTATTTTCCGATTCATTTTCAATTTTTGTTTCAACTTTCTCATGAAAAGGGGTTGTTGGCACTTTCATACTTGTTAAAGGATTACTAGTTGATATAGGTGCAAGGCCTGATCCTCTCCGATTAGCAGAGTATTGAGCTAGACTGTTTAACTGAACGTGCCATGAAGCATCGTTGTTTAATTCAACTAAAATCCAAAATGAATTTTCGGAATTTTTTGCTTACATATGCATTTATTATAGGTTGTTTGGAGTCTAATCCAGTGACAATCTGAGTTATTTCCTGGGCATGTACATGTTCCGAGTCCAGTCCAACTAATTCCTTCATAAGATTGCCAACAATCATTTCTATAAAGTAGACATGAAATATTTATACATTAATATAATTATAAGGAACCCTAATAGAAGCAATGGCAAACTTAAAATATTAAGTTTACACTTGAAAGTCCAATCCAGTGGCAACTTAAATTCTTATGTTTAAACTAAGGTGTCTCCAGTCGCTCTTTGCGGGTGTGTCGGGGAGCATAGTCTTCAAGATGCTTCGGGGAAGGGTTCGGGTCGGGGATAATAATGAAAAAATCGTTTAGGAACGGGTCAGGATTCAAGGCCGAACTCCAACTCTAGTTTAAGCTCTAGTTACTCCAACTCTAGTCCAAAATGAATTTTACTTACCTATCCTAAGTTACTTATCCAAAATGAAACTAAAAATCTTAAGCTTAAACCTATAAATAATAAGCATGAAAATAAAAACTTGTTGCTCATTCTGCAATTGTTTTGTGCATCAACAACGCAATTACGCCTGAAAAGTACCCACAATTCTCTACACGAAACATGTTTTAGGCATAATTCATGTAATGCCCAATTGCACGTTAATATTGAGGGAAATTTTGTGGAAGAGGCGAAAGGGGTGGAAAGATCTTTTTAAAATTTTCAAATTTATTTTTTGACCAAATTTTCATTCATTACCTCCACTAAAGGCCAACTTCCATCTTTGAATACTTTCTGAATCCGGTGTACGTTTAGTTCTTGTTTTGCTAATAAATGAAGCTTCTATTTCTGAGATTAGCAACATTTTTAGGGAAAGGATTAAAATTAATAATTTAATTTTTAAAGAAATAATATTTAAAAATTTGAAGTGAATTTTACATTTACACATTTCTTTTAAAAATAATTATTATATTTTATTATTAGAGTCGATTCTTTCAGATTGCCAGGCACAATATCTTGGATTTTCCCCAAGTTGATTCGGATGTGTTTTCGGGTTAAAACACCTAAACTTTCGGAAGCCCAGAAAACCCGGATTTCATCAAAATATTGGTTTCCGGACTCTATTACCGTTTATTCTTTAATAACTACCCTGGGTAATTAATGTTTCGACCTTCCGCTGTAGGAAGTAATTAATCGGATGAGGCTAATTATATGAGGTTTGAAATTTGGACGTGTTTTAGAGCATCTGTTTGGGGGCAATTATTGTTTTAATCCATCGCTGGATGGGGTGGAGTAATTAATAATGGAGGTGAGGTAATTATATGAGGAGGGCAATTAATACAGGTTACTATACGGCTTAATAATTCGAAAAATTTAATAAGAAAGAATTTTGCCAATTTTTGCCTGAGAAAGGTTCTTGAAAAAATAAATTTGTTTTAAATAAACTTAAAGTGTTTTTATTTAGCTGGCAACCATCTTCATAAAAGGGCTACCGGAAACAAAAGCAGGATTTGGGGGGAAAGAAAAAATTTTCAGTTTATTTTTATGCAAACGGATTATAGGAAAGAGTTGCTGCCTTTTAAAAATTGGTAAAAAAATTTTTAATGATTTTCCATAATTTTGGTTTATTGGCCCTGATTGTTGATTACTATTAAATTAAATAAAATGGCTGACCCAAAGAATAATAAATAAATTAAACAAAAAAAAGCATGAAAATTAATAGAAGAAAAAATATTGCTTTTTATTTTTTATATATAAATACATATTTCTCTTTCCCCGTATAATCTGAACTTTTGCCGAAAAATTAGAAACAGCTGTTTTTCTCTCAGATTTTTAGGATTTGTTTGAATTGAGGAATGTAAGCATATATCCTTTTTCTTTTAAATGAGAGAGAACTAAACAAAAAGGCATGGTTAGGCATGTTGGATTTAGTAGTTGATTGATGGGGATCTTAATATTAAAACGTTTTTCTGGAAACATTAAGATTGTAAACAGTTTCCGGAAAACTACTATATATTATGCGTTTTTCAGAAAATAAATACTATTATTCCTTGAAACAATAGGGGGAGCAGGCCAAACTACCCCGAGGCAAATGTAGTGCCGAGCTATAGCATTGTTCAAGATTATTGAATCTGGACCACCTTGTATGGTTTGATACGCCTCGATGAGCTGAATCGAATCATACCCGGGCATTGCAGTATAGCTCGGTACCTTGGAGTATACCCTAATAATTACATATAAATGTTCTTTCTGAAGAATGGCAATAATATTGAATCATGTTTTTCAGGAAAATAAATATTATGAAATTTTTGTTGAAAAATATTGTTTTGGTAATTTCTTAATAACTTGACCGTTCTAATATTGTTTAAAATTTTGTTAAGTTTAAAATTTGCAAGCTTTTCATCAGTTGATGTTACGTCTTACTTCCGTAAATATATCTTTTTCACAGCTTTGAAAAAATAAAATGCAGTCATTTCCGACTTGCGCAACATTCCCAACGAGATGAAACTTTCTTTACTTTTTTTAAATTTCTTAAATAATTTGTCCTTTATTGCTTAAGTTTAGTAGTGTTACGAATTTGCTCGTTATTTCGAGCGGCTGTCTGTTTATAAATTTTTAAGAATAATTTTCCTTTTTTGACTTTTCAGAAAACTTTTTTCCATTCCAATTTTTTATATGTATGCTCAAGTAATTATCCTGGTAGGTTATTAGAGATCAGAAATTTTGAAAAGCTTGGACCTGTTCATGGACTCTGGAGTTTGTTTAATTTTTTGACCTGGACTGGATTCTGGGCCTGTAGTCCAGGAAAAACCCAGGCCCAAGGAAAGCCTAGGAAGGTCAAAAAATGCCTAGACGTGGACTCTGGGTACAGGAAAACCCCCGGCCTCGTTTCAGTACCAGGCCGATCTCTAGTAGTTATTGTTTCAACTTCTCGCTAGAGAATCGAGAGGCGGCAATTAGGAGAATTTTAGGAGAGGGTAATTACTCGATTTATAAGCCTCCTATAAACATTTGTTTAGCTTTTCCTCGTTTGTCTATTCTATTTGTTTTGTTAGACATTTCCTGTTATTTAGGCCCACATTTAGACATTGTCTGTCAAATAAATATTTTTGTCGATTTCTAAAGATTATCACTAAAAAAGGAAACATTTAATTGCACTTTTTCCGCCTTTTATTTTTTTATTTTCTCACCGACAAAGTCTGTAGCGGCTGTTGCGATTTATTTATTTATATAGCCAGGCACGTCTCGCTTCCGTTACAATATGAATGGCAATTGTTTTTCTTAAAATTGTATAAATTTGCGAAGTTTTCAATAAGACAAACAATAATTTATTAAATGTTACTTTCCGGAAAATTTAATATTAGGTATGGTTAAGTAGAGAATATTAAGTAGAGGAACTCGTACGGGATTTAGCGGGACGTCCCGGAATTAGGGGGTTTATCGTGATCGCCCATATCTAACAAGCTTATTCAAAGTTGCCTATTGGAAAATAAAACCCAGGGCTTTAGTTAGAACATTTACATGAAGCAAACAATTGTTGAAATAAAATAGTAACTAGTGTCCGGTGCCGGACCTAGCAGCTAGTGTCCGAACCTAGCTAGCAGCAAAAAAGTTGCGGTCTGATTTAAAGGGATTAATCGGATTTAAGAGATTAATCCATCTGGATCCTAGTCTCCTTCAACCTTTTGAAAAGAATTTTTTTATAGGATCTCGGATTTGCGCTTTTTCAGTTCTATAATTAAATCTTTCTTTCCATAAAACATAATTTCCGGAAATTTTAAAAAAGTATTTCAGCTTTAATTAAATTAAAAATTAAATTTAAATTAATTTTAAGTTACATTTTATTGCCTTTTTTAAATTTTAAATTTTTTTCTTTGTTTTATTCAATTCCTTTGAAAAGGGCATTTATTCATATGATTCCTGAGACAACAATGGGTCTATTTCTAGACAATGTCTATCTTTAAAAAAAAATTTTTTTTTATTTAATTCTGAATATTCCTCAGTAAATATTCCCCAATTTTAATTCTTCTTTAATGAATTTTCTTAAAAATTTATTTTTAATTAATTTTTAATAGAGTTGGGCGGAATCGGGATCCCGGTCAGGATCGGGCGGGATTCCGGGTTTTTTGAAACCTTCCCGATTTTCTGATCCCGAGACCGAAGGAAAAATTTCTATCCCGATTTTGGCCAATCCCGATCCCGCAGTCGGGACCGGACTCGGAATCGGGATCATTATTCCAAAATCTCGATTCTTTAATCGGATCGTCACAGACTCTAAACCAAAAATGCCTGGTCAAATTTGATTGCCTGGGAGAACCCTATTGCCTGTTTGATGCCACGACCTTGGTCAATTGCACTTTGGTCTACTTTGCCTGAGGCAATTCTCCCGCTTAACCCTAATTTTAATTAATTAACAAGTCTAGCCTTTAACGGCTATACGCCTTTGTCTGTTAAACATTTTTCTCTTCGAATTGTCCCTTCCGGAGAACAAAATATTAAATTTTAAAAATATTTTTTAAATGTTTAGGTTAATCAAATGTTTCCAAAATTTTTATTTTTTGTTTGTCTTTTTTCTTGTTTCAATTTATTTTGTTTTGCACCTCCTCCAAGTTTGTCTAAAATAATTTTTCCTGTCCCTATTTTTCATTTTTAGCAGCTTCAACTTCCCAAGTTACCGAAAAACAAATAAATAAAGAAATTGTTGAGTTAATTGAAAAGATAACAGAAAAACCCTCGTTGTTTTATGAATTGGTAGAAAAAGCGGAGTTTGTAGGAATATTCTCTTCAAAGATGGAAGGAAGTGATGTGAGGAAAATATTTACAAGTATCTTCCTTATTAGTTTTAATTAAGGCCCGCCTCTATCTAATTTTTAAAGTTTCCTATTGAAAAATACAGACACTGGGCTTTAATTAGACCATTTACATGAAGCAACAATTGTTGTAATAAGATAGTAATTATTGCCCGATGTCGGACATAGAAGCCCGGATTTGATAGTAATAAGTGTCAAGAGCCGGCCGGACAGCCAGGATTTATTTCGGAGTTCGGGTCCCAAATCCGGAAAATTTTGTCCGTATTCGCCCCGGCTCTAGCCACAATAAATTATTAATTAGTGTCAAGAGCCGGTTTTCGGATTTCTGGTAAATCCAGAAAAATCTGTTCCGATCCGCTCCGGCTCTAGCTACAAATCCAGAATTCGGATCCGACTCGGGAAAAATTCTTTTCCGGTCACTAATAAATAATTAAATTAAGAAACAATTATGGATAAATTATCAGAAAAAGAAAATAATGAATTATGGAGCTTGATATGGGGAATACTAGAAAAGTATGATAAAATATTAAAAATGCTAGCGGGTTTTTGGAATGATAAATGTAAAATTGATAATGAAAATAAGCAAAAACTTGGTCATAAAAATATGGAAAATCCAAAGGTTTTGCCAAAAATTCATAAAGATGATAAGCATAAAGAAAAAGAACATGAAGGTAATTAATTATTAGTGAACCTACATCCTTGATAAAAGTGTGTTCCATTGTAGAGATACTGCCGACATAAAAACAAAATTCACGATTTCGGACAATCGGGATCCCTACCCAAAAAATCGTCGAGAATTCTCAATTTTCGGGGATCGGAAATCAGGACGGCAGATCCCCTATGTGTACCATTATGAGAATTTTGTCAACTGAGAGTTAAGAGGGAGAGTTACTGGTCTTTACTGGGACCTACTAGTCCTTGCTTAAATCATTGTAGAGGCTCTATGACTGAGAGACATTTGAACGACAAACCCTTGCCTTTATTTTACCACCCCTAGCCTGAGATATTTAGTGTGTCCATAGGAATCATACTCACACCTTGTCAAAACAAAAAATTTTTTTAAATTTCCAGTTGAGTCCTCTTTAACTGCTATTGCTCCAGATGAAATCTATGACGATTTATACATTGCATTACAAAATATTAAAGAGGATCATTTTACACCTAAACCATGCAAAGCCTTGATGGTTGTCGAACCTCCTAAAAATCCGTCTAATGACGATTCTACTTCGAAGCTTCCCTCTACTAAAGAGGGAAGTCAAAAGGAACATCATGAAACAAAAACTAATAATTCTATAGCCGATGTGCATAAAATGTTCAAGTCGATTTTTGATCACTTCAACGCTAATTATACTAAAGGTGCATTTTAATTATAATTTTACACGAAATTTTGATCACTTTTTTTCAAGACCATCACAAAGCCGAAAAGGAATGTGTTCATCATCATCCCATCAAAGAAGAAAACAAGGGAGAGCATCCTGGAAGCCATAAAACTCTTAAAAATCAGACTATAGACAATTCTACCTCGAAGCTTCCCTTTATTAAAGAAGCAAGTAAAGGGGAACATCATGGACCCCTTAATGCATATAAAATTCCTAAAAATTTGTCTATTGATTTGAAGCCTCTGGTCATTAAAGAAGGAAGTAAAAAAGAGTATCATGGAGAGAAGTCTCCCGGTACCCCTTCTAGTGAAGGTTCTAGCTCGAAGATTCCACCAAGTAAAGATAATCGAGGAGAACAAGATGGAATCCATCCTCCTTCCCCTCATCCAAAAAACACAGAAGAAGAGAATAAAGAAGATAATGAATGGGTTGAGGTTGATCCTGATTTACATTTGGAAGAATTTTTTGAAGAAGAAAAGAAGAAGAAGGATGATGATTGGATTGAGCCCCCAAATTTTATGTAGAATATTTTATCCTGTTTTGATTTTATGTAACTTATGAAAATAAAAAAAAATTTTTTAACAAACAATTATAAATTTAAATATTTTAATTAAATTCAAGTTATATTTTATGCCTTTTTGTAGATTTAATTTTTTTTACGCCTTTCTTCAATTCTTTTAAAAGTGAACATGTATTAATTGCCCTCCTCTTAATTTACCCTACTTTTATTAATTACCCCGTCCAGCGATTGATTAAAACAATAATTACCCCCAAACTAATGCCCTAAAACACGTTCAAATTTCAAACCGTGTATAATTACTAGGGTTTCACCGAAACCGAAATTTTGACCGGAACCGGATCCCATTTTAGTTCCGGATTCCGGAACCAGAACCAAAAAAACCCGGACCTTTCCGGAACCGAAAGTTCCGATGAAACCCTAATAATTACCCTCCTTCGATTAATTACTCTCTCCAGCGGAAGGTCAAGACAATAATTACCCTAAGTAGTTATTAAAGGATATACGGTAGTTCTGAGACGATTATGAGACTAATAATAATTAATTTTAAAATAAATTTTTATTAAAAAAATTTAATTCTGAATATTCCTTCTTGTTTTTTAATTTTTCCTAGACATAATCTCGTAATAATTTTTTAATCAATTAATCAGTCTAGCCTTTGGCGGCTTTACGCCAATAATTCCTTTTAAATATTCCGACTTTAAGCTGCCCTTTAAAGGAAAATAAATATGTTATTCTTTTTAAATTTTTTTTTCAAAAAAAATTTCTGAAATGGATATTTATACAATTTTGTATTTAAATTATCCCCTCTCCCCTTCCCTTCTCCCATTTCCCTCTTCCCTTCCTTTTCCCCTGCCCACCCCCACCCCCTCTCCCCTTCCCTTCTCTCCCTTCCCACCTCCCTTTCACCTCTCCCTTCACCTCTCCCTTCCCCTCCTCCCTTCCCCTCTCCCTTTCCCCTTTCCTATCCCCTTACCCTCTCCCATCTCCCTTCTCTCCCTTCACACCTCCCTTCCTTCCCTTCACACCTCCCTTCTCCCATTATTCAATAATTAATTTTTGATTTTTAATTTCTCCCCATGGGCGCCTTTTATTACCTCTATACAAGGCATTTCCTCTATCTACTTATACACGGGATTTATTTTTTTTTAATTTAAAATTATTGGATAAATTTGAATAAAAAATTAAATTAAATTTAAAAATTAAATAAATTTTTTTTAAAAATCAGAATTTTAAACTTTAATTTCCAAAAAAACTTTAAAATAGTATAACTAAGCAAATATAACTAATAATAATAACTATTAATTTAATATACCTATTAATAATTAATTTAAATTAATTTAAAATTAATATAATTTAATAATAATTAAGAGGTAAATTAACCTAAAAATGCAACAAAAATTCTTTTTATTTATTATTGCCTTTTTAATTATTTTAAATTTGTTTTGTGCTGCAAATAAAGGTAGATTGTTGTAATTGTTTTTTAAAAAAAAATTTTTTTTAATTAATCTTGAATGTAATATTTATGTAAGAATTTATTTTTAAGAAGAATTTGTGAAAACAAAAATTCGCGAGTTAATAAATGATCTAGAAGCGGATTCTTCTCTAATTTTTACTCTAAACGGTGATTTAGAGAAAATAGAGCTGTATAATTATGCTAAAGTTGACAACATAATTAGAGGTAAAACACTCCTAATTTTTGTGGAGGAGGGAATAGTCGAAAGCAGTGATGTCAAAGTTACAGTTCAAGTTCCGGAACTAAATAGTTCTAGTTCCAGAACTGAACCAAGGAATTTCGAAAATGGAGTTCTGGAACTGGAACTAGTTCCAAAGAAATTTTGGAACTTTGACATCACTGGTCGGAAGGGAGAAATCTTCTGGAGAGGTAATTTTCGACAATTTAAGAAAACATCCGTGGCACAACTGAAAGCAATTTTCCAAAATTGCATCAAACTAGTATTAATCTTTTAATTATGAAATGTATAAAAGAAGTTGGAGATGAGTATAAATCATTGGTAAAAAACGTGGTAAGAAACGTGAAAATAGAGCAGGAACAAAAATTTCACAATGAGGTCGTTATGGTTAATAAACCAAGAGAAAATCAGAGTAGTTTAAAGGAAATTCCTGAAGATGATGAAGAGAAACACTATGCAGGTATTAAATGTTAGGTTAGGGTGGGGACTTAAAAGTTGTATAAAAATGGTATCACGACATTTGCGCCGCCATTATTTTGAAAAAATAAAATAATAACTACAATCGGACTTATACCCTTTGGATTTAAAAAATGGTATCCAGGAACTGAAGGAAGTTCAGGAAGTACAATAAGGGTCCGTTAGCTGACGAATTAGGTCTGGACCATAAAAGTAGAGTGCCTATAGTGTAGGATTGTCGGATCCGGATATCCGAAGATTTCCAACTATCCTACAACCCTACTATAGTGAGGTCTGGCTGAAGTTATTCATTTTTAACGATAGTGGCGGCGCAAAAGTCGCGGTGCAAAAGTCCCACGGCGCAAAAGTCACGGAACCATAAAAATTATTAGATTACGTTTGAATCCCGCTATTACGTCTCCCTGATAACACTAGACTTGTATTCATCGTCGGCTCAATCCAGCCCATAAGGGCCGGTATCATAAGAGCGTGGTTGCTGGTTAGGTGACCAACCAGCGCCCAACTTTTCCCCTATAATTTAAAAAGAAGAGAGAAATGGCTGCGCCGAAAAAACAGGGAAGAAAAGAAAGAGGAAAAGTATACTGTAGTTTTCCTCTTCTTTTCTTCTACCCTGCTAAGGGGCAGGGTAGAAGATTTTTTAAAAAATCATTAAAAAGCGAATTTCGATGGAAAAATTAAAAATTTAATATTTTTAAATAGCTTGAAGTGTCCTCTATTTTTTGACATAATTTTTTAAATTTTCCCTTTAAAACTCAATTTATGAGAATTTTTTTAAAAAAGTACCTTATTTTTCAGTGATTTTTTAACAAAAAGTAGTACCTTGCTAGAAAAATCATAACTTTTAAATAAATCGGTCAAAATTTTAGATTTTTTGTCTAATCATAGTTAACACTCTAATCTATATTTTGGCAAAAAAATAAAATTTTTACCTCCATTTAAAAAAAAGTTATGATTTTTCTCATAAATAGGGAGAAATGAGAAAAAACGGCGACGCCAAACCCGCGGCGTAGGGTCGACTCGGCGCTGCCGTTACGATGGTTACCTAACCACCTTCCTATGATACGGGCCAAGGTGTTTTGGCCCAGATCCTGACCACATTCTCTCTCATTCATACATCGGTTTAGGTTGATCGAAAAGGTGAAATATTAGCGGAATTTGACTGTTTTTAAAGTAAAGCACAGCTGGGCTATAGCTATTTCTCTCTTTCAGCTAGTGCAAAAGGTTAATCGGCGGCTGAACCAGCATTTTCAGTAGACCGGACTGATGTGTTAGCCATTACACCACGCCGCCTACTGCATAGCCTTAGGAAATAAATACCTATATGCATTACATTAATATCTGTTAGTTAAATCGTAATAACAAACTTATTTTCTTAAGATCCAACCAGTAAAAAAACATTCGAGTACAGCAACTCGTTTAATAAACGTCGAGAAAATCATTTCAGTTTTGATCATGAAGGTAAAATGGAATTTTTTTATTGAATTAAATTTTATTTTCATTTCAACTCTTAAAGTTTGTATAAACTCATTTAAAATCTAGGTTCAAGCTCTGGTCCTCAAGCTTATTCAGAGCCTCAAGCTCAACCAGGCATGGAACAAGAGGTTGACGAAGACGAAGATTGGTGTGGTTTTAATTCTTTAAGTTTGGAGCCTCAAACTCATCCAGACAAAAGAAAAGGAGTTGATGAAAGATTTGAAGACTGGCATAGTGTTAATCCTTTAGGTTATAGCTCAGTGTTTCAAGCTCATCCAACCGAACAAGAATGTGAAGAAGAGGAAGATTGGAGTGATGCTGATGATTATAATTAACTCTGAGAATGAACTTTTTATAGAAGGTGTGGGGCTATTCGTCGACATGTTTGAGAAAATTGTAACAAAAAACGAATTATAGCAAGTAGATTGTAGATAGCAGGGATCGCGCCGACCCGATTCCCTAAAATTGTAAATTCAAAATTGCCGGGAATTTGATCCAGAAGGTGAGTTGATCCGAAGTTTAACTTCTCATCAACTCAACTTCTGGAGAGTTGATCCGGAAGTTGATCCAAAATCCAGAAATCCTATTGACGGGATTCGACTATGTATTCACAAATAAAATTGGAAACTTTGGTTTTATACCGGCGCAATCCCTGGTAAATAGTATTCGCAACAATTTTGTTACCATATACGCCTTCATGATTTTTTGTTGTTCATCAAAAAAGTAGCATAAAATTTAAAAAAATTTTTACGTCTTTTAATAGTTTCTAACTTTTGCTTTGTTCAGTTGGGCAATTTTTGTTGAGACTCTAATAACCTGATTTTTAAATCACAAAGTTCCGCGAAGAAAATTCGGATTACTATAAAAGCCTCATATTGTAGCCTCGAGCTCATTCTTGTATTCATTCTCCTTTTACTCCTTTGTCGTTAAATACATATAGGGTAATTCTTTTAACGTTTATTTTTGGATTTTGAATGAGTCGCTAATGTTTGGGCGTTGTAATTTCCGAATTAAAGTCCTTCTCATATTCCCTTGTCCTTAAGATCTACTCTTTTCTTCTCAGTTTGTTCCTTCCTTAAGAACTGCTCCTGCAATGTATTTAAAGAAAATCTACTGGACAAAAAGGTACTGCAATAAGGTTGGCGGTTCCGGTTATCCGGAACCGAAAAAAGACTGGATAACCGAAAATTTTCGGTCTGGTTATCGGTTCCGGATAATCGAAGATTTCCCAGGAACCGCCAACCCTATACTGCAACCGAAATTGAGAGACTCCATTGAGATTGTTTTGGGTACCATTCTATAATTTTAGGTCAATTTGTCCAATCCCCCCTAGTAGTTCCATTATATCTAGTACCATTTTGTCGTTTTTTAGCCTTAGTCCCATTTTGTCTCGTCAATTCGTTTAGCTCCAATAATTCGAATTTCGATTCTCTTACTACTATATTCTATTTTAGTTCAAAATATATAATCAGGAATGGCACAAGAGCAGTCTTCTAAAACAAAAAGTAAAGAATCGGTAACCAGCAGCAAAGAATCCAAACAACAAAAGAAGCTTCAATCCTCTGAAAATGGCAAAATGAAAGATGGCGTTAAAGAAAATGGTAAATTCTGAGAAGTTATTCTAACCAATCTTTAAAAATTTAGGAGAACAGAAAGACGAAATTGATTATGATGATGAAGCGTTGCTTGATTCTGCTGCTAGTTCGGGACACAAAGTTTCTATTTTGGGAGAAGAGTCTGTTCATAGGGGACAGTGGGCTGGTTAGTTTCTTTAAAGGATATAGTCGATTATTTTTTGTCTTTAGGTCAATTCGACTTTCTAATGAGTATGGTTGCCTATGCAGTTGGATTAGGTTGGTTTAGAAAATTTAAAAAAATTTTTGCGGAAAGAAACTTTTTGCGGACAGATTTAAAAAAATTTTTGCGGACAGATTTTTAAAGGGAAAAGAGGTAAATGACGGTTTGTTCGAAAGAGCTGCACGAGCTGATTCGAATGATACCAAAATTACCTTGATTAGACTGCTTCCGGCAGAGTTACAACCGAAAATGCATTTGTCCGCAAAAAGTGTCCGCAAATTTTAAAAATTTTATTTTTTTAATTTTCAAGGAAATGTTTGGCGCTTCCCTTATCTGTGCTACAAAAATGGTGGAGGTTCTTTTCTGGTTGTTTACGCTTTGTTCTTCGCTTTTGCTGCGGTTCCCATTTTTGTTATGGAAGTTGCTGTAGGACAGTTTTTGCAAAGAGGTTTTCTTTTTTGTCTAATTAGGATTTTACTAAATTCCAATTTTTAGGGGCTATTGATATGTGGAAGATGTGTCCAATGTTCAAGGGTATAAATTTAAAATATTTTTTGGTTGGCTCAATTTTTGGGAAATTTTTGTTTAAAAGTTTGAATTGTAGGATTTTTAATGATTTTGGTTACCGCGAGGGGACGGGTTATCCGAGAAATTTTCAAGGCCCTATCCGAGATCCGACCTGGCTTTTTTCTTAACCCGCCCAATCCCTTTGTTGGTTACGGAATTTATCTAATTTTGATTTTACTTTGGACCTTGGATTCCTGCGGAGTGTGAGAGGCATTTTATTAACAATTTTTCAATCAGGGATGGCGCTGGCATAAAAAAATAAATTCCTAATTTCTGTAATCTAGATTCCAATTCAAAAAACGTCGGGAATTCCCTATCTTTGGGAATGGGGATTATTGATATGTGGATTCCTGATGTCTTATGCTCTCTGAAGTACTTGTGAAAAACATCTCTCAAACTTTTAAATAACTTTCTAAAAAAGTTGGCCCAACCTTTTTTTACTAATTTTTAAATATACAGGGGTGGGCATCGGCAATGTAGTTCTATCATTTATGAGTTTGTTTTTTAAAAAATTTGGCCAAATTTAATCAAAAAATAATTTAGTGGCCTCTTACTACTGTACAATCATTGCTTGGGCTGCCTTCTACTTGGGCAACTCATTTTGGTCACCATTGCCTTGTAGGCTTTTTTTATTTGTTTTTTATTTTATTTAAAAGAGGAGTAAATGAGCCAGAGAAATTTCACAAAAATAGTGAAAGGCCTAAAAACTTGAAAAATTAAACAAAGCTTTCATTGCCGATGCTTTCTCCTTCATAATTCTAAAGAAAATATTTTTTGAATTTTTAATAGGTTTGGGGTAACTCTGTTTAGGTCAAAAAAATTTTCGTTAATTATTTTGGATGGAAAAATTAGCAAATTGTGGAGAATGTCCGCAAATTGTGGGGAAAATCCGCAAATGTTATCCGCAAGTTTTCCCATTCAAAAATGATCAAAAAGTTGACCTTTAACAGTTTATACTTCAAATCTATTTAATTTTCAGTTTTTTTAAGATTTTCTTTTTTATTATTTAGGAGTGGGAATTGGCAATATTATTTTGTCTTTTTGGTGTAAGTTGTTAAATTATTTTTGGATTTTTAAAAAAGTTCAAATTTTTAGGCATCTCCTATTTTTGTGTTATTGTCTCTTGGGCTGCTTTTTATATGATTAGCTCATTTTCTAGCACTTTTCCTTGTAAATTTTAATTTTTTTGAGTCAGACCTCACTTTAAGATACACTCATGGGGCAGAAAATTTTTATTTTATGATGAGGTTTAATTTTAAATGGGGGTTTCGTTTAGGCAGCTCCCCAACTCATACGGGACTCCTTTACTGTCAACGAGAATTTGATTTATTTTTTGGTCCCCCGATTTCCTATTGCGAAGTGATATTCTTGCAAAAGGACTTTGGCCGAGTTGTGCAGTCTAAGTCAGACTTAAATGAGCAACCTAATTTAAAAAATGTTAAATTGAGGAGTGTCTAAAATTTTGTGTATCTTTTAGTGAGGTTCAACTGTATTAGGCAAGGGCGTATCCAGGGGGTCGGTTTCGGGGGGGGGGGGGGCTAACACTGGGTGGGCGCAAAAATTTTTGGCGTTTACCTTGGCGTTCCGGACGCAAATTTTTTTGTACATAAATTTTCATCTTTTCTGCGCCGCAGGCGAAAATTTTTTAAAATTAGAGGGTTGTAGGCGAAAAAATTTCACTTTTTCGACCATCCATCTCCTAATTTCTTCCCCCTTTCCCCCATTTCGGGGGGGGGGGGGGGGGGGGCTCTAGCCCCCCCCCCCCAGCCCCCCCTGGATAAGCCCTTGGTATTAGGATGATTTTTTAAAATGAAAATAAATTTTTTTCTTAAGGGGAGACTTGCGACAATTATTGGAACAAAAAGAATATTTGCGTTGAAACAAATATGCCTGGAGGCAATGTGACAACAACAAACACTTCGCTAATTAGCAATAGAACTGTTGAATCGTCTGTTGAGCAATATTGGGAGTTTGTTTTTTAATTTTTTTTGAAAATTTTGAAAAAATCCGCAACTATTAAAAAATGTCCGCAAATTTTGTCCGCAAAAATTTAATTTTAAATACAAAACTTAAGAATCCTTTTAAAGATATCGTGTCCTTCAGCAAACATCAACAATTTCTGACCTTGGAGGTATTCAATGGGAATTGCTTGGATTAACTTTTCTTTCATGGGCTGTTGTCTATTTTGCTTTGTGGAAGGGGATAACTCAAGCGAGAAAGGTTTTGTGATAATTTTTTAAATTAAAAGGCTTGGGCAGGTTAAACAGCTAATATTCCAAGTTCTTTTGGCCCCTCCTTCTCTCTTTTTTCCGCTAGGGTCTTCCCTGATCTACAGGGCTATTACATTTTTACGTCTAATTATGGTTATACTGGATCCGAGCGGTCTGACAAGTGGCCTTTAGACTAGGTTCACAACCAGATTGTCCTCTTTTCCCCTTTCTCCCTGACCCTCAAAACTTGTTAATTTTTATTCATATTAAATCCTTGCTCAATTTTCTTATTTTTAAGTTTGTCTATTTCTGTGCAATTTTCCCCTATATTCTTATTGCTGTATTGCTTGTTCGAGGATTGACTTTGCCTGGTGCTGGGGAAGGCATTAAATTTTATTTGATGCCAAATATTACCAAACTCAAAGAAATTACAGGTTTACTTTTAAAAGAATTTTTTTAAATTTTCTTTTAATTTTTAAAGTTTGGAAAGATGCTGGCACTCAAGTTTTCTATAGTTATGGTGTTGGATTTGGAACGCTTATTGCTCTTGGCTCCCATAATAGATTCTACCATAATTGCTTTCGGTATTTTTTCTCTTCTTTTTTTAAGTATTTTCAATTTTTTTTAATTTTTAGTGATGCGATCCTTGTCTGTTTCATTAACGGAACAACTTCAATTCTTGCTGGATTTGCCATTTTCTCTATCCTTGGCTATATGTCTTTTATAACTGGAAAAGAAATTAAGGAAATTGTGAAGCCTGGTTTGTTTTTTTAATTTTTTTGGCTCAGGAAGCTTCCTCCTAATTTTAAAAATTATTGTCCACCAAGGAGGTTCGAACCTTCAACCCTTTTTACTTAAATCCAAAAATTATCCCACTAAACCAAAAAATAAAATTTTTAAGGTGTTGGTCTAGCCTTCCAAGCATACCCAGAAGTTGCTAGTAAATTGCCATTCAAGCAAGTTTGGGCATTTCTTTTCTTCTTGATGATTACTATTCTTGGTTTGGACAGTCAAGTATTCTAATTTTTCTTTGATTTTAATTTTTTAACTTTTCAGGTTTGCATGCTTGAAGGGTTATTCACAGCATTGGAAGATACTTTTCCTTTGCTTTTGCGAAAATACAAAAAGGTTTTTTCCAAAGTTTTTTTTCTAATTTTAAAATTAATTTTTAAGGGTTTTCTTTTGGTAACTTGCATTACTTTTTTCATCATTGGAATTCCTATGGTTACCCAGTCTGGTGCCCATTGGCTTACTTTGGTGGATAGTTATGGTGCTTCTGGTATGGCTCTCCTTTTTGTTGTTTTCTTTGAAGTTTTTGGCCTTGCTTGGGGATTTGGTATTATTTTGAACAGAATTTTTTGAAACGATACAAAATCCGTTTTAGGTACGCACAGAGTTAGAGATGCTTTATTTGAGATGGTTGGTTTCTACCCTCCAGGTTGCTTCACTTTTCTCTGGAAATTTACTGCTCCGCTTAGTGCTATGGTATGCTAATTATTATTTTTAAATCATTTTTCGTTCTGAAAGCTTTTATTCTTTTTTAAAAAAATATTTTCCGTCGACCGGGTTCGAACCCTCGACCTTTTTAGCTGAAACCAAGAATTTTCCAACTTAACCAAAATATCCTCAAGTTCTAATTTTTCGCCCAATTTAAATTCTAAAATTCATTTTTTAAATTTTAGCTTGTAAAAATTTTTTTTCTAAATTTAGGTTCTCTTTGTCTTGTTCCTTTTTATGTATGAACCTCTTCGTTATCCAAATGGAGAAGAATATCCCTTCTGGGCCGAAGCTTTTGGTTGGGGTCTTTCTGCTTGCTCAATTGTTGTTATTCCTGGTTATATGCTCTACTATTGTTTTAACTCTAATGATTCTAGAGGCCCATTTACGGTTTGTTTTTGTTTTTATTTTGAATTCTCTGGGGTTCCTAGCAATTTCGGTTAAATCGACCATGCTCTACATCATGGTGCGAAAATATTTACGAAATTTTTGGTGACAGTCCCTTGTAAACAATATGTTTTTTAAACCCGGCCCAAGTTTTCTGGGCTTTCTATTGTAACAATAAGTGGAAGATAAAATTTAAATAAAGAATTTTTTCCTTCAGAGATTTCGCAAAGGAATGGATCCGCCGAGTGAATTGGAAATCTGAATGTGGGAAGAAATGTCAAAATTGGGTAAATATAATAGTAAAAAAAGTACCTTATCTAAAATGTAATTATATAATTAATTTTTGTATATATTAACTTAGGTTGTATTCCTTTATTTTTTCGTCACTTAATAATATTTTCGATAATATTTGGCTACCTTTTCTTTCCTTCTTATTTCCCCGACCAATGTATGGACAGCTAACTATTTTTATTGTTATCCTTATGAGAAAACTTAGATATTTTATGATTTGTGATTCCTGCTTTAGAAAGAATTAGGTAAAAAGAGAGAAGGAAAAAGCTCAGAAATGGTCAGGGAATTAGGGAGGAAAAAGGAGGGCATCTAAATTATTACCTTTTTCCCTTTACCATTTTCCCTTAAGTAAAAAATAATTAATATTTGTAAGTTAACTGAAATTTAACTGTTTCTTGGCCTTTTTAATTGAATCTTCAATCTTTTTTTCATTACTTCTGGTTCAATTATATTAAAGCTATTGTTCTAACAGCCTTAAATTTTTCTGTTAATCCACTAACAAAATCAAGTTTTCCATTTTCAAATAGTTTCCCTAGCATTCCTTATCCATTATTTTTTAAATTAAAAAATTTTTACGTGCCAAAATTATTGAAACAAAGAAATATATCAAAAAATAATAATCAGACAAAATACATTAGGGCAATTAGGGCAATAAACTTGGTACAATTTCAAAGAAATTTTTGCTTAAATAAAGATCAACTTTATCTTGGCTTTTTCATTCAAACTTCCAATCTGGGATTTCTTAACGTCTGGTGCGATAATGTTAAATTTTTTTCCGCGTCTAGTAGTTTATTTTATTCAGGCCAAGCATAATTTTGTGATTAATAATGAACATCCAAACAACAAGAACACATTGTTGAAGTGATTCGTCAGTGACTCCGGTCAAGCGTGGCACTTTTTGATCATAGATAGTAGTAACTGCATAATCAATGTTTCCTTTTTTTTAAAACAAGGTTATTTCAATTGATAGGACATTCGAAAGAGCTACTCGAGTGAGACCAATAAAAACTTCGTCTCACTCGAGTAGCTCTTTCGAATGTCCTATCAATTGAAATAACCTTGTTTTAAGGAAAAGGAAACATTGATTATGCAGTTACTACCATCTATGATCAAAAAGTGCCACGCTTGACCGGAGTCACTGACGAATCACTTCAACAATGTGTTCTTGTTGTTTGGATGTTCATTATTAATCACAAAATTATGCTTGGCCTGAATAAAATAAACTACTAGACGCGGAAAAAAATTTAACATTATCGCACCAGACGTTAAGAAATCCCAGATTGTAAGTTTAACTGAAAAAGCCAAGATAAAGTTGATCTTTATTTAAGCAAAAATTTCTTTGAAATTGTACCAAGTTTATTGCCCTAATTGCCCTAATGTATTTTGTCTGATTATTATTTCTTTGATATATTTCTTTGTTTCAATAATTTTAGCACGTAAAAATTTTTTAATTTAAAAAATAATGGATAAGGAGTGCTAGGGGAACTCTTAGAAAATGGAAAACTTGATTTTGTTAGTGAATTAACAGAAAAATTTAAGGCTGTTAGAAGCAATAGCTTTAATATAATTGAAACAGAAGTAATGAAAAACAAGATTGAAGATTTAATTAAAAAGGCCAAGAAAAAATTAAATTTTATTTATGTTCCCAAATATTTTATCTTTTTCTTCCCTTAACAAAAAATGTTTATATGTATTTTCCTGCTGTATCCTTAATATTCTATGTAATTATTTAATTGTATTAATGAATAGAAAAAAAATAAAATGATTATCATTTTATTGTTAATTATATAAAATCTATATTTTATTTTTAAATCACCGTACAATAATTATTTGAAAATGCTAGAAAAGTAAAAAATGCAAAAATAAATGCTAATGGTCCATTCAACACAGAAACAAAGCCACTACCATTCCCACTTGGCTTTGTCACAAATGTATCATTACTGCAAATTTTTTGTCGGTTTAGAGATGATGAACGGAATTGGACTCTGCGCCCATTCAATGGTTGAAGCGGTCGGTTGTTGACGCTGAGACGTTTTCCAAAGATTGGACCATGAATGGCGCGAAGAGTTTCAAGCTTTAAAAATTAAAATTTGTCTATAGGGATTTTGTGGTTGTGGAGGTTGGGCTGAAGTGAAATCCATGTTTTTTTAGTTTCTTTGGTATTTTACTATTATAAAATTTGTTTAAAGTTTATTTAATGTGTTGAAGGTCTTTTGACTTGTATTTCCAAAAAATTAACGAAAAGAGTTAATGTCCACCTGTTGTACAAGAATAGGTATAGGCTCAGCCATCAACGTCCATATCACCGATTCGTCACATCCTGGGGTTGTTAAAGACCCCTGATAACGATAAAAGTTGTCCAAAACTGGAGGTAAATGCACGCCGACAGTGTAATTAAAGATTAGTGTTGCCGAGTCTGTAAATATTTTTCCCTATTTTTGAAAATTTTCGTTTCTTCCTTGCCTTGTTCAACCACCCTTTTCAATCCTGTTTCTAAATTTGCCATTGAACTTCCATCATTCCCTATATACATAAATATTCCGACAACTGCAAGTCCGTCTGGCTGTTCCAAAGCTTCTGTTAATGTATTATATTCTTCCTTGACATGTACTAAATGGACCTTTAAAATTATTTTTGGTGTTCCCCCTCAATTTTCAAACATTTAATTACTTCAACGGGATAATGAAGATTATTTATTGTGTGCTCACTTCCATATAAATGATCAGATGTCCAGTGGAAATGAAATTGTAGTAAAAGATATTTGCCAGTTAGCCCTCCACCGTAAATATAAGGTCTCTGTCTGGGTTCCCATTTTTCAAAACCGCTGATGGCAACTTTTGTAAAAAATGTGTTTAATGAAGTATTAGGTTGTAACTTATGTTTTGGAACCCTAGCATGCTTTCGGCATTGATACTTTATCGATATACATGTTCTACATACAAGAGACCGGAATGGGAGTTCCGTACGAGAATCGAAATTCTCGAAAGAATCATGAGCTCAATAACCGAGATTCTCGATCGAGATCTCGTCTCGGACCGGTCTCAGCGTTTTTGAAAAATTCAGAATTTCTGAGATTTATGTGGACAATGAGGATATAATTGGATATATTAAATCCGGAACTGCTAGATAATTTTTAGAGTACCTAGATTAATTAATTAATTATTGTTGCATGGATTTTTCTGGGCTAGGATAAAAAATGAAAATTTAAAATTTTGATCAGAAATATAAATCAGATAATAAATATAGTAATTATTTTAGTCTACCTCCATGCCCATTATTTTTAAGTTCAACAGCCCCAGACTGGTCATAATTAACAAAATGTAGTTGATTAATATAAGCGAATTCAAGATTTGATGTTCGAATGTCAATAGGTGACTGGCGCGTGCCGTGTCTGCAATGCTTCCCCCAAGTATGTGGACCATTGTGATCCTCATAGCCCCAAGAATGAGAGGTATCTGAAGATGGGTGATGATGAGCTAGAAAAAAAATTTTTTTTATTGGGAGGGAAGAGAAAAATTTTTGTATACTAACCAGTTTTTTGTGAATTATGATGATGATTGTGGTGGTGGTGAGAAGTGGTTTTTTGATGATTTTCCTTAAAAATAATATGTGGATATTTATTTTTGTTGGAACGAAGATCTCAAACAAAAAAATCTCGGTTATCGATAATGGAGATTATTCGAGATATTTATTCTCCTACTACCCTCCTAGTTCTATTCTCCTATTCTCCTTACAACCCTCCTAGTTTGAGCTCTAGTTTAGAACTTGTATTTTTTAAAACGTGGTGCTTGTTGGTTAAGTGGTTTTGTGTTATCCTCACTCTAAAATATTTGCAGCGGTTCGAGTTATTTCTATTCTTTTTTTGCTTTTCCGCTGATATTTTGATTGTTTATTTTGATTATTTCCCTAATAAAATATTTTTTGTTTTAATTTTTATTGATAATTTTTATTGAGAAATTTAAAGAGAAGGGGGATTATTTCTCCATAAATTTTGACAATTATATATTGCAATTATTTTTTGTCCATTGCCCCAACGATTTTTTTGAATTTTTTCTTTCCTTTTGTTTTTTTCTAAGGATTGATAAGTGATGTTGATAATTTTTATTTTATTTTTTAAAAATCAATTTTTACTAGGTACACTAGAATTTCGATATACGGGTAAAGAAAAAATTTTTATTTTTGCGAGTAGAATTTCGGAGTGGGTTGTCGAAAACCTCTCGGATCGGATTTCTGATAACCCATAAAATCCCTGATTTTAATAGACATGATACCGGTAAACAGCTCTCGCTAAAACGGGTGCCGGAATTTTCGTCTCTGGAAATTTCGTCTCCAAGACTTTTCGGAACTTTCGTCTCCAACATTTTCGGAATTTTCGTCTCCAGCGGAATATTCGTCTCCAAGGAAATAAACGGAATATTCGTCTCCACAATTTTCGTCTCCGCTAGGAATTTTCGTCTCCAGAGGAAAATTTACCCGTTGACGGAACAACCTCCCCCGCTAACGGAACAACATCCCCCGTTGACGGGGACTCTCCCTCACTGACGGAACATCTTCCCCGTCAACGGGGGATGTTGTTCCGTCAGCGGGGGATAGTCCCCGTCAACGGGGGATAGTGTTCCATCAACGGGGGAAGTTGTTTCGTCGACGGGGGATAGTCCCCGTCAACGGGGGATGTTGTTCCGTCAGCGGGGGATAGTCCCCGTCAGCGGGGGATAGTCCCCGTCAACGGGGGATATTGTTCCATCAACGGGGGAAGTTGTTTCGTCAACGGGGGATAGTCCCCGTCAACGGGGGATAGTCCCCGTCAACGGGGGATGTTGTTCCGTCGACGGGGGATAGTGTTCATTCAGCGGGGGAAGTTGTTCCGTCAACGGGGGATAGTCCCCGTCAACGGGGGATGTTGTTCCGTCAGCGGGGGATAGTCCCCGTCAGCGGGGGATAGTCCCCGTCAACGGGGGATAGTGTTCCATCAACGGGGGAAGTTGTTTCGTCAACGGGGGATAGTCCCCGTCAACGGGGGATAGTCCCCGTCAACGGGGGATGTTGTTCCGTCGACGGGGGATAGTGTTCATTCAGCGGGGGAAGTTGTTCCGTCAACGGGTAAATTTTCCTCTGGAGACGAAAATTCCTAGCGGAGACGAAAATTGTGGAGACGAATATTCCGTTTATTTCCTTGGAGACGAATATTCCGCTGGAGACGAAAATTCCGAAAATGTTGGAGACGAAAGTTCCGAAAAGTCTTGGAGACGAAATTTCCAGAGACGAAAATTCCGTACACCGCTAAAACGGTAGCTATTTCTCTCTAGAACACTTAACGTATTTTCTCGATTAATTCCCCTCCCTCGAATAATTCCCTCTCTCGATTAATTCCCCAGGCTAGAGTTGGGTTGACACAATAATTCCCCACCGCCAAATACCCTACTGCACGTTCAAATGCCAAAATTCGAATAATTCCCCTCCCTCGATTAATTCCCCGTGCCAAGGATGGGTTGAAAAAATAATTCCCCAGGGGAATTAATCGAGAAAAACGGTATGTCGGGACTGGTTTTTGCAGAGAGGTAGTAAGTAAATGGTCTTTTCTAGTCTAAATTTGGAGAAAAATCTTTTTTTAAAGTACCTCTTGAGTAAAGGGAAGATGCCCAATTAAATTTGCATCCAAATTATTATCTCCCAAAATTGAGTTGAGATCCACAAAAATAAAAATAAATAAATAAAAAGTAGGAAGGAAATACATTATTTTAGAGAATAGGGTTTAAACTTGGGGGGTTTGTAGAGTTGAAAATTAATTAATTAATTTTGTGTTTAAGTTGTCAAATAAAAAATTTTTTTCTTTATTTAATTAAGCGGATAAACTTTTTTTGAAATTTAATTTTTAATTTGATAAGAAAAGAAAATAGAAAATTTTTGTTAAAAATTAAAGGAAAGGAGTGAAGAAGAGGTTTTAGTTAAACAAAAATTAAAAAAAAATTTTTTTTTGCATTTTTTGAGGGGAGAAGTTTTGTGTTTTTTTTATTTTTCAAAAAAATTTTTTGGGAGAATTTACAGGTGTCAGAGTTAATATAAATAAATATTAGGTATTGGACAATAAATATTTATTTATTTTTTTAAAAGTCTATGTATGTAAAAATAACTGACTAACTGAACACATTTTTTAAAGACAAAAAAGAGTGTGAGATTAAAGGTGGCAGGAGGGGGGGGGGTAAGTAACAAAGAATATTTTTTAAAAAAAGTAAATTTTTTTCAGTTAATATATTTATTTTTATGTTTATTTTAGAAAGATTACAATTTTTGTGTAAAATACCAGAGCGAAAAAAATTTTTCCAGGACGAAAAAAGGGGAAAATGAATTTTTTTGTTGGAAGCTTCATTCAATTTTTATTCTTTCTTTTTGGCTTTATAATAAAAAGGGGGAGAGGGTTTAAAAAGAGGGGGATTATATTTGTAGTGCACGCAATTTAAGCTTTTATTTGTTTAAACTGATTTTGAATTTTTTTGGATTGGAAAGACACGTGAAGTTGCACGCCTCATACATATAGCAAGTAGCTGCCAGAAAAAATGACACATTTTTGGTAGTTAAATGAATCATTAGTAGCTAACAGGAATGAGTCCTCAATAGAGAGTAAATTATCAAAGACCGACTTGCCATAGGTCATAAAATTATTAGTAATGTGATTCATGCCCTACGGCCGCCAATAGAGGGCTCTTGGATAATTTACTCTATCGAAGAACGTAAATTTAGAACGTAAAAAGTGTTTTAAACCAACTCAAATTTATTAAATTTTTTTGTCTTTGTAATCAGAGATGTGCGCCAGAATTTTCGCGTAGACGCGTCTAACGCCAATTTTTCAAATTCTTAAAATACGCCAAATGTCATAACGCCAAAATAGGCCAAAATCGCATAGCCCTGGTTGTTATTCCGATATATACCAGTCCCTAACAGTGGCTGGAAGCTCGTACCAAAATTCTTACTCGTACCTGTGTACGAGGTACGAGTACGAAAAAAATGGACAGGTATGAGTAAAGTACGAGTACGAGCAAATTTCAAAATTTCAACCACTGGTCTCACATATATCTCACAAATTCTCCACTGGTTCTCCTACTCTTTTAATTGATATTTAAATTTATTTTACTAAATAGTTTTAATTTTAAAAAAGTTCAAACGTTCTTTGAGGGTTTGTTTGGACAAGTCTTTTTCAAATTTCGAGACAAAAAATGAAAACCACAAGTTTAAATAAATGAAAAGAGATTAGTTAATGTGTGTATTTTCTTAAAAACTCTTGTCAATCACACAAGAAGAAAAGTGCCTTTTTTTGACGGGAAAAGTTTTTTAGTAGTTAGTAGTTACCCCTTATTTTTATTTTTTTCTGGGATTTAAGGCAATTTCTTCTTTTCCTCTTATCTCTTTAGCTCTTCTCCGACTTTTTTTCCCACATTTGAGAGAAAAAATATTTTTTTAGTGTACTTAGTTTGTGTTAAACCGAAAAAAATTTAAGTGAGAATTAAAGTTTAAGGGAATTGAAGGAAAGTTTTGAGGGGAAAGATGAAGTTATGAGGGAAAGGGGGAAGATTAAAAGAGATGGGGGGGGGGGGTGATTAAGCACTAAAGATAAAAGGGGAAATATTAATCCATGAGCCTTTGCTTTGGCAGATCTTCAAGCTTTCTTTTTTCTCCTACTTTCTGACTTTTTTTTAACTTTTAAAAAAATTTTTTTAAGTGAGAATCAAATGAGAAAAGTTTTCAGAGGAAGATGAAGCTATGAGAGGGAAAGAGGAAAATTAAAAAAAAGGGGGGGCTGATTATGTAGAAAGAAGGGGAAAAATATTAATCCATGCGCCTTTACTTTTTAGGCAGAACTTCAAGCATTTTTTTCCTCCTCACTTTCTAACTTTTTTTAAACTTTTTTAAAATGTTAATGCCTTTTAATGAGAAAAATAAAATATAAATTTAGAAGGGGGGGGATTATTAAGTTTATAATGTAAAGTAGTGGCTTAATCCTTTTTTGTTAAAGCTGGTAATAACGAGAAACACTTAAATACTTTTTTTATATTTTCAAAAATAAAAAAAAACAACAAAAATATTTAAAAAAATATATAAATTTTTTTCAATTTATCTTCACTCCTTTCGAAATTTTTTTCGTCGGTGTTTTGTTTAAGCAAAGCTTTGATGAACGGAATTGAAGTCCACGACCATTTATGGGTTGTATTGGACGCTTGTTGAGCCTTAAAGGGGTTTCGTCGTCTTTACCGTGAATTGAACGGAGTGATTGGAGCTAAGGAATTTTAAAAGAATTAGTTTTGGACAGACTTCTTTATAAGGTACAACTCTGAGGTGGAAAATCGAATTTTATAATGAGTTATGTCTTAAATAGAAGGTATCACTCTAAGATTATGTTAGGCACATACGTGGGTCTTAAAAGCAGTCATTAACAATGTCTTGGTCTGAACCTGAACTGACTTAGACACCTATCCTTCATTGTTCCTGCCTATTGCCACTTTCGTTATTCTTATATCTAATTTTGTAATAAACGTTTTTGTGGTATTCTGTTAGTCCCAGACTAGATTACTCTAAGACATAGCAAAATTCTTATGAGGTCCAATTCAATATATCAATCATTTACCTGTTTTCTATCAATAGTTAAGGGTTCTGCATTTATTGTCCAAGTTACAGATTCACTACAACTTGGAGTAGTTAAAGACCCTTGATAACGATAAAAATTGCCCAAAGTCTTTGGAAGCGCACCGATAGTGAAGTTGGAAATTGTTTTTGATGTATCTGAGATTTTGCTTTTTGAAAAGTATGTATAAAATAGAAGAGAGATCCAGATAACTAGGCGGGGTAAAATTTATTAAAAGAGAAGTAAAAGAGAGTAAGACCGGCTTGGGAAGGGATTTTGACGGATTATTCCCGCGGAGTATTTTACGGATTATTTTAGTTACTCCCGCATGCAGGATCCCGCAAATTTAAAAATGCGGGATTTTGCGGGAGTGATGATATTTGCAGGATTATTCCCGCAGGAGTTCCATTCTTAACCACTCTTTCTCCGTAAGCTTTTTAAAATTTACTCCTGCATGCGGGATCCCTCAAACACGATGTGAGCAAGAATGCCTATCAAAGATTGCCAATGGGTCAAAATCGGCAATGCCTGCCCCTTCCAAAAGTCTTGAACTCTCTCTCTTTTCTGCTTACCATATTTAATCACTCTTTCGAAATTCTCCATTTTTCTTCCAATTTTCCCAATTTTCATAAAAAACCCAACAACAGCAATTCCATCAGGCTTTTCCAAATCCTCGGCTAAAGTATATCCTTCTTTGACATGAACTAAATGAAGCTCAACGGGATAATACTTGTCGTCTATACAATGTTCACTCCCCTCCAAATGATCAACTGCCCAATGAAAGTGATATTGTAACAGAACATATTTTCCTTTTAGACCTCCACGAGTAATATAGGGTCTCTTCTTTGGATCCCAATGTTCAAATCCTTTGACGATAACTGTTAAAAACAATATTGTGTTATTTATTCGTGTTATAATGTTATAAAATTTTGTCCGCAAGTTTTGTTCGCAAGTTTCTCCGCAAATTTTTTTCTGCAACAAGAAATGACTGTTTCCGATCGCGAAGAACTATAACTTTTCCTGTGAGAGGAAATTGTTTTGGGGAACCATTGTAGATAAAGCTCACCCTTTTCAACTAACGATGAAGCATGAAGGCTTCATCGATAATAATTAAATTACCCTATACTAATTTGGCAACCAAAATAACAACCAAAAATAGAAGGAATTTGACCAGGTTCATGATTAATCCCCAAATCTTCATGATTAATCCAGTAAAGCATATAGCTATTTAATTCATAAGGCTGTGCAGTAGGCGGCGTGGTTTAATGGATAACACATCAGTTCTGTCTACGGAAGATGCTGGTTCGCTCCCAGCCGCCGATTAACCTTTTGCACTAGCTAAAAGAGAGAAGTAGCTATAGCCCAGCTGCCTTACTATCCTAAATTCCACCTACTTAAAATTTAGCGGATTGTCCGCATTTTTTGTCCGCAACTTTCTAATTATTTTTAATTTCAATTTTAACCTCCATGCCCATTATTTTTTATTTCAACAATTCCAGAATAATTGTAATTTACAAGTTCAAGTTTATCCAAACAATTTATTTTGAGACTTTTTGTTTGAATATTAATAGGTGATTGATTCTTGCCTTCCTTACATTTTTCTTCCCAAGTATTAGGGCCATTGTGTTCTTCATACCCCCACGTTTCATCTCCCAAAATAAATTTTAAATTAATGAGAATAAGGAAATTTATAAAAATATGAGAATAATGCATTTTTTTGATGAATTTTTTGTCTGAAGAAATAAAATAAATTATGATAGATACAGTCGAATCACATCTGTAAAAGACACCCCAAGGTGAAGAAAGAATCTGCCGTTCAAGTGAGCTTTAATGACAGAGTCTACATGAGAGGTGTCTTATAATGGAGGTGACATCCCTTATAATAGAGGTTAGCTTATAAAAGATTAGTGTCTTACAAGTATGTTCAACCTATTAAAATTTTTTCCGGCTGTCGTTCATGTGAGGTCGAACAGATAATAATTTTTGTAAAAGACACCTCTAACAAAGGAGTAGGGTATGATCTATCTGTCTACCAAATTTCATCGCGAAGTCCCACGGACACCCAACAGCCTCTCCTTTGTAAGTTAAAAGACACCTCTAAGTGAAGAAAGAATCTCCCGTTCAAGTGAGGTTTAATGACAGATTCTACATGAGAGGTGACTTACAAAAGAGTCTTACAAGTGAGGTCAAACTTGTTAATTTTTTTCTGACTAACGCACAAACGGGGCCCGAAGACTGTTAATAATTTTATTTGCCTATCCAAAATTTGTTTTAATTTCTGTTAAATTGCCTTTTTTATATTGTCTCTTTATTTGTTGAAACATTCCGGCTGTCTAGAATTTTTATTCAAGCTAACAAAAAGGAAGTTTTAAATATTTAAAATAATTGCGTGGAATTTTTAATATGTATTAAAGTACATTTAATTATAATTAAAAAGTTGATGCTATTTAATTTTTTATCAAAGAAAATATCCGGATACCAAAATCAGTCTAGGAATAAAAGTTTGGGAATAAAAAGTCTGGGAATGAAAGTTTGGGAATAAAAAGTCTGGGAATGAAAGTTTGGGAATAAAAACCACCTATGACAAGCGACACTTACATATTGCTAGATTATTTGCTCATAAATTGCAAATGATCTAAGGTTTTAGTTTTTTTCTTGAACCTATCGAGTTGACTTTTTAATTGGCGATTTGACTTGATCCATACAGTCCAGAAAAATCAGAGCTTATCGAGTGCTTTCGAATGATTTAAGATTCATTCGATTTGGATTACACATAGAAAATTATAGCCGATCAAAATGGGAAAAAAGGAAAATGGGGGGAGGATAACACAAGAGTATATCATATTTTCCTGAGTCGAATACTGCTTATTAAAATACATTTTAATAAAATTTTAATTTTATTTGTTAACATTTATTTTTATAAAAAATATTGCAACATTTTCAAGTAGCTTTTTTAGAACACAAAAATTATTTATAGATATCACAGTTTTTCACAATTTTTTGCCTTCTCATTTTCTCCTCTTTATTAGCAATTTGGCGGACGGTGTTCTACTCGACGTTGGTTCAATGGTTGAGTTGGACGTACATTCGAACCTAAAGCTTTTCCGTTTGGACCTTCTATTTTACGAAATAAATCAAGCTGAGAAAAAAAATTTTTTTGAGAAGGGTCTTTATCAAATTTTACTTGTTTTTGAGTAAATTGAACCGGTCCAGGCAAAATAATCCAATTAACAACTTCTGCACAGTTTGGTCTAGTGAAAGATCCATCATAACGGTAATACTCATTCCACTTATCAGGTATCGAAAAGCCGACTATGAAATTTGGAATCTTTACTGTCTTACCTGAAGGGAGATTTTTAATTTTATTTTTTAAATTTTTCTTACGATATAAAACTACTTGCGGCAAATATTTTTCTATAATTGACAATGCATGGCCATTCCCTCCTATTTCCAAAAATATAGCCGAAATTACAATTCCATCAGGCCTTTTTAAGGCTTCTTCATATGTATATCCCTCCTTTACATACACATAATGAACCTAAAAATATGTATATAGTAAAGCAGCTGGGCTATAGCTATTTCTCTCCTTTAGCTGGTGCAAAAGGTTAATCGGCGGCTGGGAGCAAACCAGCATCTTCAGTAGACCGGACTCATGTGTTTTAACCGTTACACCACGCCTTAGGAATTGAATAGCTATATGCTTTACAATATTAAACCATAATCGGAACATTTTGATTCGACTCAATTTAAGAGCTAGTGACTAAAACTGTTTTATACGTGTAGTGTAGTCGATGTCCTATGGACCGAGATATAGGCCCCGAAAATTGAAAACCCATAAGCCAAATTTTGGGGTGAAAAATCTGAAAGTTCAAATAATACCTCATTCGGAAAAGCTCTTCGAGCTGAATTTTTCAACGAAAAATTGAGCCTACTCCCCTCCCCCTTGGTTCTTCAAGTTTCAGGGATTCAATGATTCAGGGATTGAAGCGGGCTTTTGACTAAAATATATCCTTTTATAAAGGGGCTAAAAATAAGGTCCAGCTGTATATAAAAATACCTCAGCAGCAAAGCGTCTTCCGTTAATTGTATGTTCGCTTCCATTTCTATTTGTTGACCAATGGAAATTCAATTGTTCAAGAAAATATCTTCCAACAAAATTTCCATATGCAATGAAGGGTTGTTTATTCTTCCAATTTTTAAAGCCGCTAATTTCAACTGTTAGAAAAATAATTGTTAATTGTGTTTGGCATATGGAACTTTTCAGTACCGTTACCTTCAGTATCGTACTAGTTTCGAGCTATGCCGAAGACTTATGTACATAATAGAGTTTCACCAGGGTACAAATTTTACCCGCAGCTGCGGGTTCTATTACCCGGAACCCTCATCTTTGAATAAGGGTAAGAACCATACCCGCAGCTGCGGGTTCTATTACCCGAGTAATGAACCATAGCTGCGGGTTACCCTTACCATCATTTATGAATAAGGGTTCTGGGTTAACCTACCCGCAGCTGAGGGTTGGTTAACCCGCAACCTCGTTCTCTGAATACCGCCCCAGAAGTTCCGGTTCCGGTTCCGGAAAGTTCCGGTGTTTAATTGGTCCCGGGAACCGGAACTCAAATTGGATCCGGTTCCGGTCAAAATTTCGGTTCCGGTGAAACACTAATACATAAACCTTTTGGGGTGACCGTTTCAGGTTTTAGTTTATCTGTGAATCTTTCCGCAATTTTTGTCCGCAATTTTTTGTCCGCAATTTTTTGTCCGCAATTTTTTGTCCGCAATTTCTATCCGCAAAAAATTTTGTCCGCAAGTTTTTTTATTCGAGTAATCTTCCCTAACATTCAAAGCATAGTTATACCTCCATGTCCTGTATTCTCTACTACAACGTCTCCGGCCAAATTGTAATTATAAAGCCGTAGTGGTAGAGAGCACCGTTCTACTAACTTTTCTGTAACAATATCAACAGGAGATTGCTTCTTTCCAGTTTTGCAAGTCCCTCCCCAAGTATGAGGACCGTTGTTTTTATCATATCCCCAATCGTCTCCCAAAATTGAGAGAATGGGGAATAAAATTAGTAGAATATTGAGTAAATACATTTTTGGGAAGGTGTCGTTTTTGGGTGAAATGAAGCTGTGATTGAAGCATTTTTGAACTGATTTTTATATTGGGGATAAAAGAGGAAGTTTTCTTTAAGAAAAAAATTATTTTTAAGGAGGCAAACAAAATTTTATGAAAATAAAAAAATTCTGAGGTGTGTAAATGTTGTTGTTATGTTGTAAAAGAGAGTCGTGATTGTGTTTGTGTCAGATGACTAGAGCTCATCATCCACAAATTTTTTGATAAATTTTGGGGGGTTTTTTGAACGAGAGGCTTATATTTTTGTGTAATAAAGACGAAATTTTATTTAAAGAAAAATAACAAAAATTATTTTTATGGTCTGAAAAAACTTGTCTATCCATTAAAATGTGTGGATAAACAAGGAAACAAAAATTCTTTGGGTGTTGGTTGGAATTTTTTTAAAAAATTACAGAAATTGACGTGTTGTGTTAGCTCCTCTATTAAATAAATAAATAATATTTTTTACGAAAATTGGGACGAAAAATTTTTTATAATTGAAAAGCTTGAGGTTTACACATGACACTATTTTCCTCAAAATTTTAAATGAATTTATTTTCTTATTTTATTTTTTGAAAATATTTTATTTTAATTTCCCATTCTTTATTTTCATTCATTTTTTAGACTTCTTTTCATTTATGTCCCCACAATTTTTAATTTTCTTGCATAGTATGGATGAGCGTAATTGTATCTCACGATCATTTATAGGTTGTATTGGACGCTTGTTTATTTTTAAAGGGGCTTCATCGTCCTTACCATAAACTGAACGGAGTAATTGGAGCTAACAAATTTTAAAATTATTAGTTTTAGACATTAAGATCAGAGTTAAAGTGTTAACCGAAACCACAACTTTCAAATCCGAAATTCGATCCGACTTTCCCCTCTTAACCTCTAACTGGTCTCACCCGAACGCCTAAACCCGAACTGGCCCGAAGAATCTCTTACAGACCAGAAATCGTTCTTATAATGATTTTATTTCTAATATAAGGTATCCCTCTGGATGTATCATAAAAGGAGATTCGACTGTATATAAAGAATTTACCTTAGGGTTTGTCCCCGATTCGTTGTGAACTTTTTCGTGGGATCAGCTTGGGGGCTGTACCTAGTTTTCTACTATGGCTCCGGCTCCGACGTTATTTAAATCTGAGTTAAGAACTGGAGCCTAAGTTTTCGGAGAATCTTTAGACCGCATGTCTTTACGCTTGTATGGTTGCTATAATTCAGAGTTTAAAAGGACAATAATTCCCCGACATTTATTTTTTGCGGGGAACGGTATGTCTGGGAATAAGCATGCCAGGAATCGGGGTCGAGAAATTGTCTATAAATCATCTTGGAGGGGGACGAGGAGTTGAAGACAACCACTAATTTACCTGTTCTCTATCAATAGTTAAAGGGTTTGCATTTATTGTCCAAGTTACAGATTCACTACAACTTGGAGTAGTTAAAGACCCTTGGTAACGATAAAAATTGTCCAAAGTCTTTGGAAGTGCACCAATAGTGAAGTTGGAAAGTGTTGTTGATGTGTCTGAGAGTTTTTTAAAGATATATTTTTTGAATGATTTTCAGAGATGTCCAAGGCCAAAAATTTTCCTATGTCTAAACCTATGCTTTACTCCATCAGCAAGACCAGGAACCATCATTGGTGGATCCTGGGAAATCTTCGGTTATCCGATCCAGAACCGATATCGCACCAAAAATTTCCGAATATCCATCTTTTTTCTATCTGAATACCCTAGTCTTGGTATTCTTAGAAATCTCTCTTTTTTGTTTAATTACCATGTTTAACTACTAGTTTCATTGCTTCCTCCATATTCTCCATTTTCCTTCCAATTTTCCCAATTTTCATAAAAAACCCAACAACAGCAATTCCATCAGGCTTTTCCAAATCTTCGGCTAAAGTATATCCTTCTTTGACATGAACTAAATGAAGCTCAACAGGATAATACTTTCCGTCTATACAATGTTCACTCCCCTCCAAATGATCAACTGCCCAATGAAAGTGATATTGTAACAGAACATATTTTCCTTTTAGCCCTCCACGAGTAATATAGGGTCTCTTCTTTGGATCCCAATGTTCAAATCCTTTGACGATAACTGTTAATAATTGGGGTTTTTATAAAGGTTTTAGATATTAAATTTTTGAATTTTATTTTTCCGCGCTTTTTTGAATTCTAGATTTCGTGGTTTAATTGGTTAGTCGCCAGTTTCACCACTAGAAAGGGTAAGAGGTTCGACTCCTTTTGTTGGGCAATATTTTTTAATAGAACTCTACTTAGGTATTTTACTTTCTAGATTTTTTATTTGTGGTTGAGTGATCCCTAGTGATGATTTTTTTCCTGAAAAAGTGTCCGCAAGTTCATTTTATCCGCAAGTTTTGTCCGCAAATTTTTCTCCTCAAGTTTTATTCGCATATTTCCTCAATATAAATCGTGAACTCTACTTATTTCATTTTCTAAATTTATTATTTGTGGTTGAGTAAATGGTCCCTAGTGATGATTTTTGCCCAAAAATTGTCCGCAAATTTTTCTCCGCAAGTTTTATTCGCATATTTTTCGTAAAATTTTTTCTCAAATTTTATTTTCTTAAAAATTTTCTAAAAATCTTTTTTTACCTCCATGCCCATTATTATTTATTTCAACAATTCCAGAATTATTGTAATTTACAAGTTCAAGTTTATCCAAACAATTTATTTTGAGACTTTTTGTTTGAATATTAATAGGTGATTGATTCTTGCCTTCCTTACATTTTTGTATCCATTTATCAGGTCCATTGTGTTCCTCATATCCCCATTCTACATCCTTATCAGCACCCAAAATTAATTTTAAAAGAAGCAAAAGGGAGGGGAAAATTAGAAAAATGTTCAAAAAATACATTTTTGTGTGTGAATTTTTAATTTTTTTTAAATTTTTTGAATAAAAAATTAATTGAATATTTAATTAAATAGACAAGAGGAAGAGACTAAAATATTGCCAACACCAAAAATTTTTGTTTGGATAAATCTTTTTTGTTAAAATTTTTTTTAAATATTTCCCCAGTAGACGTCATAAAAATTTACAATTTTTAAAAAAATTTTTTAAATTTTTCTTTTACAAAAAACTTTTTTTAAAGTTATTTTAATTAGAGAAAATGAGACAAATTTCAATGAGAGAAATTAAAAAAATAAAAAACCAAATGAGACAAAATGAGACAAATTGCCAAGCAAAAATGAGACAAATTGCCAACCAATCATAAAAACTCCTAATTTTTTCCTTAAATTTATTGTCAGAGAATATAAATAAGAGATCATAATTTAAATTAAATAATTTAAAATTTTTCATTTTCATTTATTTTTTTCATTTATCTTAATATGAATACTGAAGTAATTTCCATAGGGGTTCATAACAACCAGCAGCTTCTCCAACTTCTGAATATGAACTACCAAACAAACTGAAAGAAAATTTAAAAATTTAATAGTCTATTAAGAGATACACCATATGGGAATAAAGATTGTATATTTCTTCCCAAGTATGAAGGCCAAGTATGAGAGCCATTTCTTCCCAAGTATGAGATAGTAGGTTAACTCTAGGAGTAATATGCATCCTCTCCCGATCAATCAAATTTAAAAACCCCATTTCATAAATAGAAATGTACATTAAAACTAGAATGGTCTTGTCAATTCTCCTTTAGCTATAATAAAAGTATGGGTTGTTCATGCTCTTATTCTTCTCTATTAGATTTACCGCAGGCCTGAAAACTCCTAGCTAGGAGGTTAAGGAGATCGAAAACCAGCATCTTTCTCCAAGAATGGACCCATCCTTGGAGGATAGACTTAGGAAATAAATAGAAATAAGCTTTACTTACAAAGTGAGTCTTATAATGAGACCCTACTTTAATAAAAAAATTTTTTTTCTTTAAAAAAAACTCACAGATTTTTTAATTCCCCCACTTTTCGATTTGTTAAAAGAAAATGTTTTAGTTTTCCAACAAAAGGACTAACAGATTTATTTAATTCAAAGAAGGTCTTAAAAAATAATTTTTAATTTAAAATAATTTTTTTCAAAAATTTACCAATTCATTACAAGCATACAAACAAAATTGATTAGCAATCCCTTCAATTAATTGTCTAATTGGTAAATATTCTTGGTCTAATTTGGCATTTTCCATAAATATATGAATATATTCTAATTGAACTTGTACCAATTCGTCCAAATTTTTGACCTTAAAATTAATAGAAAAATCAAATAAAAATTCTAAAGTGTTCTCTATATTACACAAATCGACGTTTAGAAAAAAAACTTATATAGGAGTCCTATCTAAAAATAGGTTTAGAAATTAAACAGAACTTCAAAGTGGTTTGAATATTTAGACAAATGATTGAAGGGGGTGAGAGGTAAACAACAGTGCCACACCAAATGATCTTCAATAGAGTTGAGATTTTAAAGTCGGGTCGAAATTCGAGTCATTTTTTGAGCCTCATTTTTAACGGACCGGCCCAACGAGTCTTTTTCGGGCCAAAATACGATGTCCGACTCAATCTTTCGAACCGGGCCGGATCGGGCCACCAAATGGTCTTCAACCTTTACAGATAACCTCAAAAAGCTTTTAATTTTTTCCAAAATTAAAGTTTTGCTAAGAAACTAGAAGACCTTTTCCAATTTTTTAACAAAATTGTTGTATTCTTTAGCAGCAATTCCACAAATATATTCTTGGTAAACATTTATAAGTCTATTAAACAAATAAATTGTGGCACATTCTTGTACAGCCCAAGGATTGTTGAAGTTTTCACGCAAATAGAATTTCCTAAAATTTCCAAAAAATTTCCTAAAATTTTAAAATTTGTTTACAAAAAAAAATAAAAAAGTTTAGTAATTGAATTTTTAGTTTTGGACCATGAAAAAAATCCTATTTCCCTATTAAACCAACAACCAAATTTGGACTTTGAAATAAAATTTTTAAAAAAATGTTTTTTTTTCTAAAAAAGCTATAGACCAGGGATGTCACGGGTACCCGATACCCGAACTTATTCTCAATCCGAAACCCGATCCGAAGAAAAAATTTTTCAAAACCCGACCCAACTTTATTCTCACTCCGTGACATCCCTGCTATAGTTTAACGATTCCTTCTCATCGAGCTAAAGAGTTGGACCAAAATTGTTAAGGTTCAGAAATTTTGCATGTAGTTATGGCTTTTACGCCTACTTGGGCGCGTCCCGGTTTTGAATGGTAACCATTCAACCCAAATTTGGACTTTGAAAATTAAAATAAAAATTTTTCTAAAAAAAGCTATAGACCTCTAAAAAAAGCCCCGAGAGATTCAATTAAAAGCTTAATTTAAGCCTTTCCAAAAATTAAAAAAACCTTACATATGCACCAAATATCTAGCTCGATTAATAACAAACAAAAGAAAGAAAACTCTTCGATAAGGCTCCAATATTTTTGCAGGAAAAGCCAATTTAAGCACATGATTGTTTTGGGCAATATTTAATTCCAAAGCTGGGAATGTGCCTTTTTTGGGTGTAATTCCTTCACTTTTGATTTTGGTAAATGGAGAGATATTGAGTCTGAAAAATGATAATTTTAATTCTAATCTGAGTCAATCCCTCAGTGATTTCGAGAAGTTCCAAGAGCGTAACCAGTGGTCGATTTCAGGGGGAGCCCCCAAACAGTCAAACATTAAAAAAGTCAATTATCCTTAGCCTCAGAAGCCCACCACTGGCTACTAGAGATAGGTATTTTCAAAAATCCTGGATCTGGATTTAGGTCCTTAATCTGGATCCAGAGAAAATTCAGATCCAGAGAAAATCCAGGACGACCAAAAAATGCCTGGATCTTGACTCTGGATACAGAAAAAATCAAGACTGGATCCAGATCCAGACCGATCTCTATTGGCTACGTCCTTGAGAATTTCTCGAAGAAAATTTTTCAAAAAATCTGAGACAAAATGACACTTGACCAAAAATTAATAAAATTTCAAAAAAAAATTTCACACTCAAAATATTTATAATGCATAGATGTGTCAAGTTGTGCATATCGAAATGCTTGTGTAAGAAGCCCATTTAATTTATTTGATGTCAACTTTTCAATATCAATATTTGTGAAATTATTTTTTTCAAATAATTCTGCCAATTCGTATATCCAATTTGTATTTAATCCAATAAAGAAGCTGGGAAGTTTTCTGAAAAGATCATTTTAATAATTTAAAATCAAGTTTTCTTTGAGTTAGGCTTCCACAATAAATTTAAAGTTTTTTTTCAAAAAAAAATTGAGGCTATAATATGGACAACAAATTGTTTAGTTTAAAAATTGTATATTAAGTCAACAATTGATTTGACTATTTTGGAAACTCAGTTTCCTCTTTACGCTTTCTAGAGGTCGGCACGGGACAGGACATCCTTGGTATTACCGGAATCCCAAATTTTCAACGAAAAAAGGGATTACAGGGGATTCCTGGATTGATCCCGCGTACAAAATGTTGAAAAAACTCCCGTTACGTGATCATGGGGATGCGATTTTACCGACCTCTATCGCTATCACAATTTAGATATATATATATATATATGTAAGAGGTTTTTTAATTAAGTTCAGGCAAAGATTAAAAGAAGGAACAATCACATTTGTGGTTAATGAGAAAAGGAGAAACTGAGCCCCTCCTCCATCCAAAAAAAGCCTTTTAAATTTAACAAAAAATAATTTAAAATTAGAAAAAGGAAAAACAAACTTTGCAAAATTAATAATATCATATTTTTGTTTAAAATGTTCAAGAGTATTTGTAGAGCATTTCTCAAATAATTCATTAATTTTATCACAAAATTTGCCAAGCGAAAGATTTTTAAAAACTGAAGCTTCCAATGAATAATGAAATGAAAGAAGAGTTAAACCTAATTTTTAAATTAAATTTGAAAAAAAAATTTTTTTAAAGAAAACCAGCATTTTGTTGCCTCATTGTATACAAATATTTTCCAAATTTAAAAATTTGATCTTTCACAGGTAAAAAATCAACAGGAATTAATTGTGGAATCAAAATAAAATAATTGTCAAAACTTGAAAAAAAGAAAAAATTTTAATGAAAAAAATAAAAATTATGACAAATAAAAAAATCAATTTTCGTGGCTGGGATTCGAACATACAAACAAAAAAATATTTTTTTTGGTCAAGTGGGATAGCTTTTAGTTCACACTATAGAAAGGTCGAAGGTTCGAACCCGGTTGGTGGACAAACATTTTTAGTTCACCAATTAATTAAAACAAAGCAAGTTTTTGAAGAAAAGAGTTAATTTTCATGAAAAAAAAATTTTTTTTTGAAAAGATTAAAAATTAAAAGGTTGTTAGATGATTACAAAAATTTAATAGGTTGAGGGTTCGAGACCGTTGGGGGACTATAATTTTCAAATTATAATTTTGTTGAAATAAAAATTAATTTTTTAATAAAAATATTTTTCATGCTTAAAAGTTATTTTTAAACCTTCAGAAATTTGCAATAAATCAAGGAGACTTACTCGGACCAATCCAATTTCCCCGTCACATCAAAACTAGACCGATCAACCACATTTTGTTTCCTCAAATCCCAAATGAAAAATTCATGTCCAACATCTAAAGCTAAAGTACATGAAGACACCCATTCAACAATTATTTGGTAATATCTTTCAATTGACAAAGAAATTATATCATCCAAAATGGAAGTTAAAAAACGATTTTCGTGTAGGGCTTTTTGATCAAATAAAAAGTTGATAAATTCTCCGCCAATTATGTCCTCCTAGAAAGAAAAATTAATTTTGTAAAAATAAATATTAAATGGGACCAAATAGACCATTAAAAACTAAATATTTCGAAAAAAAGGATTTGAACTTAAATGAGAAATTATGTAGTGTTCAACATTTAGTGCCCAACACGAGTTGAGAAAAAAGTCGGATAGTTTCGTATCGGGTTAGTTAGAGAGATTACGAGAGAAAGAAGATTGGTCGCAAAACACGGATCTCGGGACATAGATTCGTGACATAATTACATAGGTGATTCGAACACCTCCGCACAAGTAGCAAATCCTCTCAATGTCAATCAATCAAACATCGACTCCCATCCCAGTAACTGTGTTCCCAGTCAATTGAATCACGTCTCGTTGCTGTTCCATCCAGTCAATCCCAAACCAAAACAGTTTAGAAATATCAAAAACGGGAAAAGCAACAAAAAAGAGCCTTGCGCTGCCAAACAAAAATAAAAAATTGAAAAAAGGAACCTTTTCAATTTGATTTGCAATTCTAAAGAGAGGCTTCAAAAACTTTGCATGTAAATCCATACAACATTTTTGTAATGTAAGCAAATTCTTTCCTTCCATTTTGTATAATTCATCCAATGGATCAAAAACATTTTTACGAAGAAAACGAATGACAAAGGAGCAGAAAACGTTGATCATGTAACCACGAGTTTTGTCATTACGAAGACCTTAAAATGTTTAAAAATAATTTAAAAAATTTTTGGATGTTAAAAAGAAATATTTTTTGAAGGGAAAAATAAATTAGGACCAAAATATAAAAAATTTGGCAACAAGAGGAATCGAACCATGACCCCTTCAGTTATGAACCCAGAGATTTACCAACTAAGCCACCGATAAGATATTGACTATGCTAATATTTTTGAATAAGTATGAGAGGAAAAAGTAGTCGAGAAAATATTATAAACTTCGAAAGAGCAAACGAGTAAAATAAATTAAAAAATCGAAAAAAAAAATAATTTACGTGTAGTAATCAATTGTAATTCAAATAGAGTTGTAGCCATTCTAAAACAATCATCCAACCAACGACACAAATTTGCATTTTGCTTCCTAAAGAAATCATCAGACCAAAACCAAATAATTTTGTTTTCTGCTTGAACACATTGAATATATGGAGTATTCATTCCCTTACAAAATTTGTTTTTAAAAACGAAAAAAAATAATAGTTAAAGGTATGAAAAATTAATTTTTCAGAGAATTTTTTGATTTGACAGAGTAGATCGAGCTTTTTTTTTAAAAATCAAGACCTTGATTTTAGGTGAGAACATTGATCCGATTCTTGAACTTAAGTCAAGTAAAAATCAAGGGACTCTAAAAAATACCTTGATATTAACTTGGATCCAATAAAAATCACAAGAGGATCAAAATCAATCTCGATCTTAAAGAAAGTACTACCCCCAAAAAATACCAGCTGGGTATCAAACCAAAAAGCAACAAGCAATTAAATTAACGGTCTTCACAAGGAAGAACATGAAAATATTTTTTCAATCAATCCCAAGAAAATTTTGATTTGACAGAATAAATATAAAGATCGAGATTCTTTGAGAACCTTGACCAGTAGCAGGCAACAATCACCCAATGACAATTTAAAATTAAATTCTTCCCAAGAAAACCCACAAATTAAATTTAAAAAATGAATATACTCGTCTGCAGTTGATCAAAAAATGGTCAAAAAGGACAGTTTCACGATCATCTTCACGAATATCCGCAATATTCTTTTTTTGCTAAAAATTTTTTAAAATTAACAAAAATAACCTAATTTACTTACAGCAGAATGGACAATATTAGTGGGCACAAAACACTCGTCATACTCAAAAAAATTGTCGTGGACTACTTTTAACACTAAAAATTATAAGAAAATCAACCTTTAATAATTAAAAAATCACAAACATATTTGTCTTCTCAATTTTTTCCAAAAAGGCAATTTTGATAGAATATCTGGTTCAATGGCCATTTTAATAAAATTAATAGAGACTTGTATAAATAAGTTGGTCTGTAAAAAATAAAAATATTATTCAAATTTTACGAGAAAAATTAAAAAATTAGTCAAAAAAATATTTAAGAAAAAAAAGAAACTCCTCGCATCGAATTTTAGGGCAAACAGTTTTAGGGCGACAATTTTAGGCAAACAAAAAAAATTATTTTTTCCTATTTTTTACCTATTCAAAATCCTAACTTAAAAAATCAAAAAAAAAAGAACAAATCCAAGCCATTTTTCAAAAAAAGAATTCCCAATATAAATATTCCTTTTGTAAATTTCAATAAGGAAAATTCTTCACTACCCCAAAGACATTTTCACAACTCAAAACGCCCCATCCCTGCAATTTTTCATTTAGGTAAGAAAAGGGAAACATGCCAACATTTTGTCACGCGAGAAAAACTAAAAACAAAAAAATAAAATTCGGAAGATCCGTAAATTAATCCAAAAAAATATTCAACAAATTAAATATTTTATTAAAAATTGCATGAATTTTAGAAAAAAAACTATACTTTAATTTATTCTAACAACTATGAAATTAACAAAATATTTTTTATTATAAGAAAGTCAAGGCTTAATTATAGGGCAAAGAATATCAAATTCTGCACATAATAAAAGATGATCAGAACCGTATTGTTCATTTGGAAGTCTTCCACAAGCTTTTTCCAATTCTTTTAAAGTTGGAAGTGAAAGGCGTTTTCTCAATTGAATAAATCCTTCGATTGCAAGTTGTTTTTGTTGTTGAGAAGAATCAGCGCTGGTAGAAGCCTAAAAATATTTTTAAAAAATAATTTAAAATTTCTTGAGAAAAAAACAAACACAGCGGATACCCCCAGAGAAGGATAAGTAGACTAACACTAACATAAGACCCCGGGGGTTTTGAAAATCCAAGGTATAGACCAAAAAGCAGACATTTCTCCAAGCTTGCAGCAGAGGTGTTTCGAAACAAAAAAATCTTCGAAAATCGGAAATCGAAATAAATCCAAAAATATCGAAATCGAAAATATTTTTTAAAATCTTCGAAATCGAAAATCGGAAATCGAAAGAAAAATAACCTCGAAAATCAAAAAAAAATTTTTTTAATAAAAAATGAAAAATAAATTTTTGGTACTTATCGGTTATGTTACCACATTTTCTTACCTTTTATTTCCTTTTCCTCTTCAAAGTTACTTTAACTCTAAGGAATTGGGGAAAACTAATGACTAGAATAGGAGATCCGGGGAAATCATGGATATCCAAACCCAAAATTTTGTTATCCAAATCTACGGCACCGACTCCGACCTATTATTTCTTGGTTCCGGAGCCGGTGATTTACTGAGCCGCTTCATGGTGTCCCCAGACTCCGGGTGTTAATATTTCATCATGAGATCTGTGAAGATTAAGAGGGATAATGGAGGATTTAAGTAAGATCTCCTGATATAGTGAAAGAGCTAAGCCGCTTTACTTAAAAGGTTGGGCGGTACAGGCATAAGGTTCCGGCATGGGGGGGGGTGGGCTTCCAACTCCACATTAATTCGAGCAAATTCTACAATATACCGGAGCCGGAACATAATATTGTTTCAGGGATTCCTTTTTTACCGCCTGAGTCGAAAATTTTGAGAATTTTGGAAGACCAAGTCACCAGATTTCTTCCTTTTACAGCGCCGCAGGCGAAAATTTTGAAAATTTTGGAGGATCCTTAAGTCAAAAATCTTCCTTTTTCTGCGCCGCAGGCGAAAATTTTGAATATTTTGGAAGGCCAAGAAGCCAAAAATCTTCCTTTTTCTGCGCCGCAGGTGAAAATTTTTTTAATTTATGATGTCAGGATTCCTACTTTTTGGCGCCAAAAATTCAAATTTTTTCAAAAATTCGAAAATCGGAAATCGAAAATATCTCAAAATTTCGAAAATCGGAAATCGAAAATCGAAAGGAAAAAAACCTCGAAAAACGAAAATCGAAATTTCGAAACAGCTCTGGCTTGCAGGTCTTTTCTAAACTCAAAAGGGAACATTTGAACTGTAGCCAAAAATTTCACTTTTTTTGCACCAACCTATTGCTTTTTTGGTCCTGACCTGACCTCCCAAAATCGAGAAGTTATAGGGTTCAAAGTCAGGGTCAATAAACTACCTATAATATTGACCTCGACTTTTTTTAACCATCTTTTACTGTAAGTGCGAATTTAGTAATTTTTTTGGTTACCATTCGATAGAGAACCTTCGACTTATTGTTAAGGCTTATATTCCTCCTATCCTAATAACCCTCCCAAAACACCATGTAAATTACAATAAAAATTAAAAAAAACAAACATCTTGCTCGAATTTTTGAGTATTTTTTGGAATTGTATACAAAATGAAATCTGGGGTAGATTCTTCCATATGATAACTGGAGATTTCTGGCTAGAAGAAAATATTTGAAAAATTCTTTTAAATTCAAAAAAAACCTCTCCAGCAGCATTAAAATGTTCATAGACTGAAGCAAACGAAAAGTCGTGAGATAGAAAGTCAGTAGCGTTTAGTTTAACAACAAATAATTGAGGATCAACAAGATCTTTTGAATCAACTAAAAAAAGAGGAGGGATTTAAAAAGAGAAAGGTCCAACCAAAAATTATTCTATAAAATTCTTAAAACAGAATCACAAATGTCTATTTCAAGGCTCATGTCAGAGAGACATAATAGCCCTATCCTAAAACCCCCAAAACACCATATTTGTTAGTTTAAAAAAATAAAGGGTCTTATTATTTTTTATAAATCTATTAAAATCTTCCAGATTGGGGAACACACTTTTTGCGTTAAAAATGTAGAGAACAGGGCTGGGCGAAATCTAAAAATAAAAAGCGAAATGAAGAATGCGAAACTTTTCGCGCTAAAAATTGTGAAATATGCAAAAAATGCGAAATCGCCCAGCCTTGGAAGAGAATGCTTCCAGGAAGTCCTGATACAACAGAAAATTTCAGTTTACATACAGGATCCAGGTATCTTGTATTTTTTGACTAAAAACTTAACTAGCTGACCCTTAGTCGTGAATTGAAGATGTCCACAAATTAAGATTCCGTTAATAATCAAAACAGCCCCAAAAACCCCTACAACCTTCCCTATTTGTTAATTAAAAAAATAAACAAATACCAAGTTCACAATTTTTGGTCATTTTCATCAATGCAAGAGGTATACTGGTACCTGATGGCGGAGTCATAGGAATCGAATTAGAAGTCGGTCTCAACGCCATAGTACTACTAAAAATTGCTCGCAATTCAGCTTTTTGTTCCATCAAAAAACTAAAAAACTCTCTTTAGCTTTCAAATTTAAATAAACCGATGTAGTGGAGACGTAGGTTCAATATTAAAATCACCACAAAGTATATGCCCAACAAAATTATATTTTCTTATGGGGTCTTTTTGTAAACTCATTGAAGCCACAAATTCATCTTCGGCCTAGAAATCAAAGGAGAAATAAAAAACAAAGGAAATTAAAATTTAAAGGGGGCAAACAAATAGAATATTTAAAATAAACATTAAACCAGAAAAATCAAATAATCCACTTTTAGACCTTATACATTCACATGGAACAAATGTCCTAACAAGAGATGGCATGGGGAAAAAACTGAAACTGACCAAAGAAATAGATTGGCTTTTTCTAAATTTTCAATAGATCGGCTTTCGGGAGATTATGATGAAAATCAGGCCCGTAGCCAGAATTTTTCTCGGAAGGGGGGGGGGGGGGGGGGGCAAGGTACGGCCTTATGAAAAGTCTTTATAGTATCGTGTCGAAAAAAGTTCGTCTTTCAGCTATCGGGGTTCGAATGACAAATGACAGCCTATCCCAAAACCAAAGCAACCCCCTCCATGCCATCCAAAAAATACCAAAAAACCAAACCTTTTTCATATGCCCCAACAAATATGCAATTTGTGCCAATTTTATAGCTCCCTTCTTCATTTGAAAAAATATATGAGTATTTGAAATACAAAATGCTGAAGAATTGTATAAACAATCATTTAATCCAAATATAGCCACTTGCCCAATATTTGGACTGTTCATAGTTGGAGGGATAAATAAATTGAATGAAACTTGGTTTATATAGAGTAAAGTAATTTTTGATTGACGCCAAAAAATAGCACATCCATCCGGGGTTTGTAAACCGCCCGTTTTGCGAGTAAAAAGACCTTGGAATCCTCCTTAATTTGAGAAAATTAAAAAAAAATTTTTACAAAAAAAAAACAAAACTGCTTGTAAAATAAGGAAGATAAAATTCTTCATAATGAACGTCTTGAACTTCTTGTAAACAAAAAATATCTGCATCAATCCTATCAAATTCCAATTCAAGTTTTTGCTTTAAAATTGGAAAAAGTTTTCAAAAAATTCTCAAAAATCTTTTTAAAAAACCTTTCTGGAATTCCAAAGTTTATGAGCACTTTTAGCACCCCTTAAATGTTGATATAAATGAGACATTACATTCACATAGTGTTGACATAAAACGTTAAATGACACAACAGACAATGGTATTCGAAGGAATTTATTTGTGTTGGGAAAAATTTCTTTACCCTAAAAAAATTTCTTAATAAAAGAAAAAAATTAAAAATGAAACTAAAAATAAATAGAAAACACTTAAAAATCAAAAATAAGTTGAAACACACCCATTTAGAATAAATTAACACAAAAGTACTCGAACCCACCTAGTTTCCCCTTAAAACTCGACGCCCTAACCATTCGGCCATCGAAACTATAAACACAAAAATTTTATAAACGTTTTTTAATATGAAAGAATATCCTTCAAAAATCACCAAAAAATAAAAATATTAACAAAAAATTACCAAAATTTGTTGATAATATCGAAGCCCAACCAATTTATAATTTTTAGACAAATCAATTTTTGAAGAACGATGTTCATAACGTATCCGACTTGCAAAAGTTTTATGATCAAGTGATAACTCTTCGAAAGAATTTTCTTGTTTTGGAGGGCAAATACTTAAAATTTCTTCTCTTGTATAGCTCAAACGCCTATTTTCAGAATTTTTGCTAGTTGATGGTTGAGACACTTGTGGGAGCTTTAAAAAAATTTCAAAAAAATTTATACAAATAAACCTTTTGTCTCAAATCCAAATCACTTTGAACACGCTCAACTGACGCGTTTTCAATGTTGGTAACACAACTATGACACAATTGCTCTTTTATTTGTGCAACTGTTTTCTGTTTTGATTGACGAGATAAAATCTTTAAAAAAATATTTAAAATTAAAATATTTTTTAAATTATTTATGCATGAACTACACGAAATCAAAGTAAACTGAAAAAATGCAAAACAACCCAAAAATTTTATTTTTTCTTGCCCAGAAAGTTTTATACAAAATATCAACTCAAAATAATTATTTACCATGAATGGGATTCGAACCCACACCCTATGGATAATCAAGACAGAAACTTTTCCCAGCAAACCAAAAAAACCGAAACTTCCCACAAACATAACTAAGTTGTCAGTTTTAGACCGAACCGAAAAACCGAGGATTTTTCGGAATCGAGGATTTTTCGGTTCTGTTCTAATATCCGAAGAATTTCCACAAAAACGAAATTTTTCCACTAAACCAAAAAAAACCCAAAATTCCCCCTAACATAAAATAAAAGAAGAAAACCTTTTTGTTCAATTTTATAATTCCAGTTTCTTCACGCAAATCAATATCAGAAAAAATTGAAGTGTTTGCAATTGTTCCCTGAGAAGCCGAAAAGTTAACCGATGTAGAAATACTTGGAGAAGACTGAAGATTTAAAGCTGGAGATTTGACTGAAGTTGGAATTATTTTCTTCTTCTTCTCAACTTTTCCTCCTTTCGAAATTTTTTGTTTCAATTTTTTATTGCTCGGAGTATTCTCTTCAATTAAAGTAATATCCCCCTCTTCCTCTTCTTCCTCAGTATTACTTGGAGAATTTAACAAAACAACTCCGTGTCCATGTCGACTTAACAATGACTCTTTCACAAATTCTTGTTTTGTTTCTATTTGTAATTTGGTTGGTAGTCGTGGTAAGCTGACATTGTTAGCTCCAGTTTTGTTGCTAATATTATCGTCAACAGTTCCCAAGTCAATAACTGGAGGAACTAAAAAAAGAGGAAATTAAATGAGAATGTTTACCTCTAGATAAAGGATATGGACTCAAGCAGGAATGGAACGCGTCGAGAAAATATAGAAAGTCGGGCTAGGTTTAGGAACGAAAAAACGTCCAAAAGTTTGGGGTAACCCGTCAAATGACTAAATTCGGAGAGAGTCCATGGATCTCTTCCATGGCAAGGGCGTAGCAAGCGGGACCCTCTTTTAGCCCTCCATTTAAACCCCCGGTTACGTCCTTGATCCATGGATCCGATTCTGTGTTTCCTTATTTTAGATTTCGCATTTCTTGATTCACCGTAAAACGAGAAACACGTCCTCTCCAATGTCACTCAACCAGCACTTTTTAAAATCGGATGAAGTTTGAGAGGGGTTTTAGTTCACGGCCTTCACACGAAGGAGTGTTATACCCTCAACACTTTCCCGTTTCCATGTCCCCAATTTTCCAAATTCCCCCACTCCCTCTACAACTAAATCACACTTACTTTTGAGTATATCCATAAAAATATTTTTCTTCGTTCCATAACTATTAAGCAAATCAGAATCTTTTTTGGCCAGTTCCGCATTCAATTTTCCAAAACTCAACTCCAAAAGTCGTTGTTTTTGTATAATTTTTTCAGGCGAGAGTTTGTCTTTTTGAAGATTTTTGTTTATAACTCGCTGCTGTTGTTTACTTTCTTTTGTAGTTTTGGTTATTTTGACCATTTTTTGAAAATTTTTATAAAAATTTAATTAAATTACGTAAAAACGCTGAAAATAAAAAAATTTTTTTCAGAAAAAAATTTTCAAGAATTCCTCAAAAATTTTACTCTTTTTCTCTCACCACGCTATCTTTTTTTCTATTTTGTGGACAAAATGTCTTTAAAAATTTTTTTGGCATTATGTCGCTTTTGAGGGAAAACTTTGTTTAAAAACAAATAGCGTCCCGTTCTCCAACTCGATTTATCCTTACACGGAGAGGGGATATCTTTGCTAGAAAGGGCACATTCTCTATCGAGCGAGCCCGGTCTCGACCGTTTTTAGGCAACCTCACCGTGTTAGGTTTGTAAAACTGGCAAAAATAAACAAAAATAACCAAATTTCAATTCCGCTACGTCCTTTGCCTGCGCTAGTCTGCTGTGTGCTTACTCGGCCCGCGCCTACTCGGGCGTGTTCCGTCCCGTTATGTTTAGCTTCCTTATATTTTTAATATTTTTTAGTTAGGAAAGGGTAAGAAGCAAAATAACAATTTTCTCTAATGGAAGTCGATGATATTATTGATGTCGTTAACATTGAAAGTGCAGAGCAGGATGATATTATTGATGTTGTTAACATTGAAACTGGAGAGCAGGAAAAGGATAAAACTGGGTCATTAAGTGGAACCGAAGAAAATCAAAATTTAACTGATGGACAGGTTTATTTTTTGCCTTGTAAATAGGGTTGGGGTTTTCGAGAGAGAAATAGGGTTGGGGTTTTCGAGTTTTCGGGCCGACGTTCATTTTTATCGGGCCGGCCCGACCGAGTCTTTTTCGGGTCAAAATTCAAGGCCCGACTCGATCTTTCGGATCTGGCCCCCAATTCATTTTTCTTAATTATGGACGTTTTGGTTAAGTTGGAAGTTGCTTAGTTTTTGGGGGTAAGGGGTCGTAGGTTCGAATCCCTTTGGTTGATTTTTTAATTTTATATAACCCAATAAATTTAAAAATTTTTTTAGCCGTTTATTGACCGTCTAGGAAATAAATGGAATTATTTGGGAACTGGAGCTTTTGTTGAACGCCATTATCCTCTATTGGGGCTCAAAATGTGTACAGAGACAAAGCGATGGGCTGTTTTATTTTGTTCTCAACGTTTTGACATGAAGTGTCCTTATCAAATGTTGCTGGTTAAAAATAAAGGGCTGATTTACCAAAGGTTTTGAAGTTGATTGAAATTGGGGGTTATAGTTGAATTATTTGAAATTAGTTTGTGAACCCGCCAAGTAGAAAGGGGCTTTGTCTGTCCTGACCAGTATTAATAATGTCCTTACCGATTTACGAAGAAAGACAACCACCGATTAAAATAAGGTTTAGGTCGTTAAGGTTTAGGTCATTCTTCTTAGTCGTACGGATGGGTACAAATTTTGTTACTTCCTTTGAAAGCACTTCAGTCAACGCCCAAACATTTTCATTGTTTTGTGTTTCCTGAACGTTCAGAAGGTCTTTTCAAATATCAAAACCCAAAATTTTATCACCATTTTTCGTAGAATAAAATTTAACCACAATTTATAGATTCGAACATTCCCATCAAGTCACCAAAACTCCCGAACAATTACTTAAAGGAAAGACACCAAGCCCTAAAAAAGATGGAGAAGATGGACGTTTGTCACATGAAATGGAACTTTCTGGATGGAAATTAGTGGCTGAGGTTTTTTTAGATATTTTTCAAAAAATATTTTTGTTAACTTTTAAGGGTGTTTATGACGAAGAAAAATTGCAAGAAAATTTGACACAACATTTTGCTGTAAAATACCGACCTCATGACGAGTTGATTTGGTACTTTAAATGCAGATACACTCGTTGTAGTTATAAAATTCGTTGGTTTAAAAGACTTGGAGAAATTTGGAGTTTGGGATTACACAGCAAGCTGCATGGAAGTGGAAGTTGTAAAAGGAAGAGACGACGATTGAGGTTATAAATTTTGATAAAAGTTTGATTTTTTGATTTTTTTTGTTTCCACATTTTCTGATTTTATTCCGATTATGTTAAGAAATATCTGACGCTCTTGCAAGAAAATGTTGGTATTTTTTTCAGGGAATTTTTGTGTATTAAATATAATTGGCTTTTTTGGGGGCTCAGTCTCTCCTTTTTTCATTAACCACAATTTGGTTTCTTTTCATCATTGCTTGAATTTATTAAATAGGGGAAGTTTTTATTAGGAAGAGTTATGTTCCCAAAGAAGCCAAAAAAAAACTTGGCTTGTCTCATGTACTTAACTAAATACCAAAGATAATTAAAAAAATCCTCGAACCAATCCGCATACACAGCGGACATACCCCTCTGTTCTTCTTTCTTTAACCCTGCAAATTCCTTATCCATCTCCCGGGGTAGTAAAATCCTCCTCTTCCCCATCCCAACGGCGGCTTCGATTTTGTAGGGTAATCCTCCTATCCTTGATAAACGCACCGTGGAAGAGATAATACCTGTGGCAGCAATGTCTTAAAATTCAGAATTAGGTATTCCCCTCCCCCAAAAAAGCAAAATAGTTATTTAAGTACTAATATAATTAAATTTGTTTTTAGTCACAAAAATTCCACTTGTATCCATGCAATTAAAGAAGGCGTGGTGATGGTGTGCCTGTGGCCGAGGCAAATATTGAAGATGATGGGGGAAACGAAGATGGTGAGGCAAATGAGGAAAACGGAGATGCTGAGGGGAATGTTAATGATGAAGCACCGGCCGAGGCTGATCGGAATGGAGATGTTGAGCTTGATTCAATGCCGGAATTCGAAAATTCAGAACATTATAAATGAATTTATGAAATTGTTTTAAAAGAAAACCCGACCCCCTGGATACGCCCTTGATGCTGCGGCGTAAAAAACCGAGCATAAATTATCAAAATAAAAGTATTTTACTCAATTCTTTTAAAGCTTTTTTTTAAACAATTTCATAAATTCATTTATAATGTTCTGAATTTTCGAATTCCGGCATTGAATCAAGCTCAACATCTCCATTCCGATCAGCCTCGGCCGGTGCTTCATCATTAACATTCCCCTCAGCATCTCCGTTTTCCTCATTTGCCTCACCATCTTCGTTTCCCCCATCATCTTCAATATTTGCCTCGGCCACAGGCACACCATCACCACGCCTTCTTTAATTGCATGGATACAAGTGGAATTTTTGTGACTAAAAACAAATTTAATTATATTAGTACTTAAATAACTATTTTGCTTTTTTGTGGGAGGGGAATACCTAATTCTGAATTTTAAGACATTGCTGCCACAGGCATTATCTCTTCCATGGGGCGTTTGTCAAGGATAGGAGGATTACCATACAAAATCGAAGCCGCCGTTGGGATGGGGAAGAGTTGGCTTTTGCTGCCCCGGGAGATGGATAAGGAGTTTGAAGGGTTGAAAAAAGGAAGAAAAGAGAAGAATGACCGCAGTGTATGCGGATTACTTTGAGGAATTTTGTTTGACTATTTTTGGTATTTAGTTAAATATATGAGACAAGCCAAGTTTTTTTGGCTTCTTTGGGAACATAACTCTTTTCTAAAAACTTACACTATTTAATAAATTCAAGCAATGATGAAAAGAAGGAACAACCAAATTGTGGTTAATGAGAAGAGAAGGAACTGGGCCCTCCAAAAAAGCCAATTATATTTAACAAAATAATTTTAGTTTTGTTTGTCAATTTTTGGTATTTAATTTTTTTGCAAAATGTTTATGCTTTTAAAAATAAAATTATTTTTTCCAACTAGTTCTTTTCAAAAAAACATTTCTATTTTTTCGGAACCTCCTGAAACTTACTAATTACGGAAATCCGGGAAACCCGAGAAATAACCAAAAAGTTTAATTTACAACCTTTATGTTAACCAATTTAAAAAAATCACAAACAATTTATATATACTATTTATATAAATTTTAAATTTACAAAAAAAATTTTTTTAATGAATAAACGAAAATTCTTTCAAAATGAGCATGAAAAAATAATATGTTTAATATTTTTAATTAAAAAATGGGCACTTTTTTCTTCTTCCTTTTGAATCACAATATTTAGAAAAATATATAATTTAATTAAATTTTGTATATTTTCTCCGGAATTAATTAAAAAAAATTTTTTTCAAATATTTCTAGCCAAAAAAGTCCATTTATTTTATAATTATTCCCAGAAAAAAATACAAAAAATTACAAAAAATAATTAAAGAATATTAAAAGTAAAAATAATTTTTTTTAATTCGGAATGGTCATTTATATATTTATAATTAACTAGAAAACCTTTACTAGAAGAAAATCTCGTATTTTTATTTAAATTTATTATTAGAATTTGCAGGTTGTTGTGATGTTGGTGGAGGAGGAGGAGGTATTCGGGCTGGGGGAGGTTCAAACATTCCTTCAGTTAAATATCCAGCAATAGATTCAGAACCACTTGGACCTCCTAAAATTAATTTTTTTAGTGATTTAAAAATAAAAAATTAAAATTTTCTGGTGTCCGCAACAGCAAAAGTCCGCAAATGTTTCTTGCTGACTTTTTTTAGTCCTATGGTTTTTCGATTTTCGGGGGCCTATATCTCAGCCCCTGTATAAGTCTGCACGAAAATTTTTTCACCATTCGACTCAACTCGACGAGCTCTTTCGAATGACATATCACTCGACCTAATCGGCGTCTGTGTCGTATACCGAAATTTTTCCAAAAAAATTTCAAAAAAAAAACCTGTAATAGCCTGTGTTTGTGTAATCGTAGGTAAAAAGAGGTCATGTCTCTGATCTTTATAATGTGCCCAAATTGGCGATTTTTGCAAAACTTGGGAAATACGTTCACCAAATTGAGTATCACGACAACAATTTTTTAGAGCATCGGCAATTTCAGCTTTTGCCGCAGCTGGATTATTTACACCTTTTTTTGAATTTAAATTAAAAAAAAAATAATTAAAGAAACCTGGCATTGAACTAGCTAAAGAATGAAGCAAAAAATCAATCATTCCAGAAAGTAATATTTGTTCAGCAAATTCATGTGTACAATGATTGGAAAGAAGTTTTAAAGCATGTGACCA